GGCGGAGGGGAAGAGGGAAAAGACCATGTCCTCTTCTCCTGGTGCCGGTGCCGGTGATGGCGATGGTGATGGTGCCACAGCTTTGTCTGTTCCCTTTGTCCCCTTCGTCTCCTCCGCTATCCATTCAAATCTGATTCGTCCGTGGTTGAGAATCGCGCCACCGCTCCAGATCTGGCGGCATCAAAAATGAGCTTCGAGTTGGATTCTCCATTCAACTCGGTTGGGTTGGAGTGATTTCTCGTGTCCTGATGTTCGTGTGTGTCGTGCCGTGGCAAGTCCGGGCAATCCGGGCCATCCATATCCCATGGTCTCAGCTCATATCAGTTTGTTTCGGTCAACCACTTCGCAGTGTCCAGTTGATACAGCTGTAGCATCAGAACTGTGTGATCCATCATCTGTCACTCGTCATCTCAAAGGCAACTGCCTCATTGATCGTACTTTGCCACAAAACTCCCAAGCCGTAGTCTCCCACTCTTGATAGTGCGCGCGCAGCATGCTTTTTCTGACAAGGCAAATCAACGAGCGCATCCCAAATAACATCACCGCCTCTGTGAAGGAAAAGAAACACATCAGAACCACAACTTGATCAGTTCCTCACTGACGGCATTCGGGGTCATGAGTCCGTTTTCCGTGATGAGGGCCGAGATCAATCCCGGTGGCGTGATTTCGACCATCCAATCGTCCACATGCCCTGCAGCGGGTTTTCCATCCTTTGGCAGCGGACTGAAGCCAGGAAACCCTTCTTTCTTCTGACTTCCGGCGTTGGAATCAGGAGCTGCGGTAGTCCCGCCGAGGCCAAAGCGCAACACATTCTGTTCAACCCCCAGTCTTCGAAGATCATTGGGCCCATACCCGAGCGGGAAGTTCCCCACAAACTTGTACGATTCCACGCATACATGCAAGGGGATGGCATAAGTCTGGGCGATAAGTCCGATTTGGTGTGTGCCGAGCCCTGTGACGATAGATCCGTTCTCCAAGACTGCGGTGGCGCCGACGAGGAACTGTGGTGGTGAAGCCGGAGAGGGCGGCAGCGACGCTAGCGCATACGTCAAAGCGTGTAGTGGAATTATGGTGGTGGGAATAAAAAGGTCCTGCAGCGAGGCGATAGACTCTGCGAGCCGCGATGATACTCCTGTTGGGGGTAACACATAGACGACGCTAAAGGAGCGCTTGGACTCTGCAGCTGCAGTTAGCACGGTGTGAACTACCCGGCTGTATCCGTAGGTAATGATGGTTGAGTCTTCTTTGATGAATGGCAAGGCATGATGGGCGATTTTGAGACGTGCTTCATTGGCGCGTTTCACAAACAGAGACGACTGGGCGATTATGTGATGGCGTAACGCGGTGAAGTCGGATGTCGCGAGCGACGACGGCCGTTGCTGGAAGGAGCTGATCAGGTACCTTTGAAACAGCTCTGTCCCAGCAGAGAGCGGAATCGGGTTGCGTTGCGACTCGAGCAGTCTTCGAGAGTGGCTGGACAGTAGTGCGAGGGTTTCCGAGATGGTTGTTAAGGGCGAGGTCGCGAGAAGGTTGATGAGTGATTCGATCGCTGCAATTGGAGGTGTGATGTTTGGATCGCTTTCAATCAGCGAGTTGTAGGACGCGACGATGTCAAATGTCGTCGACGGTGACTCTTCAGCTGTTGAGGGTTTGGTTGCCATCGCTGGGGCTGATGCCGCTACTAGAGGTGTAGACGGATTAGCGGACTTGAAGAGCTAGCATAGAGCGCTCTCTTATAGGGCACCGCTATGGATTTCCACATGGGCGAATCTCATTGTGCCCAATTTCCTCATCCATGCCGAAAAGAGTGGGCAAGGCGAGGTTGAGTCATTGGGAGAAGGGCCAAGGGTTGGGGTAGATGCACTCACCAGCAGCCATGGCAGAAGGCACTATTTTCTAGACGGTACACAGTCGTGATAAGTCTTGCAACTAGTTTCATGCAAAAGTACTTTTGGATCTTGACTAGATGTGGTGCTGACAGACCGAGTCGCGGAAATTTTAAACTTCTTTACTTGAGAAGTCTTGGATGGACAGTTGAGATCAGCAAGGCTCCGTCATAGCCTTGTCATAGGATCTTGGCGTGGGGGCGACGAGCACCCCGCGCCCTTTCCTATTTTGGAAATGTCAACAAAGCAAAACCCATTCTTCTAACGGAGGCTCAATCCCACGTTTTGGCGTCTCTCTCTCCAAACACTTGCATTTCGAGGCCGACAGAATACATGCTTCACGATAAAAATGAATTCGCAATACCGAACTTCGCTGCAACAGCAGCAACGAGTCAAAAAGAAGGAAGAAGATCCTGCCGATTTCATGCGATTGGTTTGTTGTCTTGCGACCGCTCTCACAAAAGACGTACTGACAGTATCTACAGTCTGAGAAAGAGATCGCGTCATGTATCAGCGAAATGGGCATTCCATTCCAACCTTCCGACATCTTGAGACCAAACCCGCAAGTGATCCAGATGGTGTTCGAGCACCTGGGTGAACTGGTTATGAATGCAACCAGAGACACCCTTGATCCTGCCTTGCGCGCTGCCGCCGAAGACGTTTGCTCCGAGTTTCCTGAACTAGTACCGGTGGAGACGAGGCTGCTTATGGGCTTCTTCGTCCAACTGCGAACCATGCTCGAGCAGTGCGGGATCCATGATTTCTCGTTCAACGACCTTGTTCGCCCGACCCACGATCGACTGGTCAAGATCCTATCATACACCATCAACTTCATTCGATTCCGGGAGACACATACGAGCGTAATAGATGAAAACTTTAACAAAGCAGAGACCACAAAGGCCAGGATCGAGACGCTGTATGTTGAGAATCAGGATATGGAGCAGAGGCTGGAAGAAATGAAGCGCAACAGAAAAGCGATGGAGGTTGCCGTCAAGGAGAAGATGCGGCGAAACGATGAATTGAAAGCACGGCTACTGGAGCTTCGAAAAGGCCAGGAAAGAGTGGCGGAGCACCTGGAACGCGCCAAAGCCGACAAGTCACGCTCCCAGGCACTATTGGAGGACAAGACCGAGAGATTGATACGGGCGCGGCAAGAGAGTGAGAAGTTGAGGCCGTACGTTTTGCAGAGTCCGGCGGCCTTACAGAGCACTTTGACGGAACTCTCAGACAATCTTGTACGGGAGAAGGCCCAAATCGACGCGTTGGAGCGGAGGTGCCGTGCTCTCCAGACATCAGGGGATAGTTTTACGGTTGTTCAAAATGATGTGCAGGCGTGCGTTAAAGTACTCGAGGAGATCGCAGTGGAGCTTCAGAAAGAAGAGGAGGAAGACGCTCGAGCGGCAAAGAATCGCGATGCTCTGGCAGAGCGTGGAAACAATGTGCGCGAAGTGGAACAGAACGAGAAGCTGCTCCAAAGGCAGTTGAAAAAGTGGGAAGAACGCATCGAGGAGTTGCGCAGGAAGCACAGAGATCGAGACGAAACAAACAAGACCAAAATGGACGAACTGAGAGAGATTCAGCGGCAGCTCCGAGATCAAAGGGCTGACAGGGGTCGGGAGATGGAAAGGAGGAAAGTGAGGATCGAGCAGACCGAGAAGAAGGTGAGCGTTGCTCCAACCCGACTACCAGGGGATTCATCTTGCTAACGAACACTTAGATGGCCGATCTCAAGGATAACATTGAACAGGAGGTACACTCGGCGCACGAGGAGTATCTCAAGCTTGAGTCCCACATCAAGCTGTACATCACAGAAATGGAGCAAAGCATGTGATTCGGTGGAATTTGTCACGACGTTTATGAAGGAAATGGCGCTCCCTGCAGAAGATACCCGGTTATGTTGGCTGGCGATTGACTTTTTGGATTAAATGGGCCAGATTGGGCTGGCATCTTTCCCTCTTTGCTCTTCAAACTATCATTTCCTCCTCGGGGCTGTTCCTGGGCCAGTCGACCGGGTCATTCTCTTGTCGGTGCCGTTCATTCTGTCCCTCGGCACGGAACCATCTCGATGCAAATCTCATGACCGATATGGTGCGCCGTCCCCAGCTTTGACCGGGTTCTCCTATCTTGATGGCTGCACTAAGGAGTTGGACTTCGGTCTGCCAGAGATTCGGACCTCGATTTGGATTGAACGGGTCATTGATGTCCTTGCATTCCACTAACTTCACCATGCGATTTGTTCGGTGACCGGCAGACACCGCGGTGGCGAGTGTCTGGGAGAGACCTTGCAGGGTGAATTCGGAGGTTCCGTGGTGCATCGCCAGCAGATTCAGGACAATGATGGGACCCGGAGGTCGGGTTGAAGGAAGTGCAGTCCTTGAGACGAAGCCCGAGAGAAAGCCTCGGAGGATAGGAATGTTTGGACAGAAGATCAGATTGACGAGTTGGCTTGCGCTGAGGACGTGCAGAATCTGTGAAAGGAGGACGTGTCGAGGCTTGGACCAGCGCTCCTCTGACGGAGTATCTACCTCTTCTGGGTGCGATGGTGTCTCTACTTCGGACTGAACTTGTCCTTGGTGAAGCTGGGTGACGAGTTGTCCTAAAAAGTCTTCTTTGGACGAACATATCACCAGGTCTGTCGGTGTAAGGCTGGTCTCTCTGACGACATCTTGGAGCAGCTCGGATTCGTAGTCGTAGCGAAGGATGATGGAGTTCATGAAGGAGCAGTGGAATGAGAGGCGCGCTTCGTCCCTTGGGCCATTATCTGTTGTAAGTGCCCAGACTTTGTCCACCTCGCCTCTTGAGAAGTCATATGCGAAATAGATATACTTGATACCGCGTTAGCAACAAGATGATGGGCGCTCGTGTGTTCCATCTGGCGCAGGGCTTGGCAATCAGGTACTCGGTACCTCGTGAAACAGAGGACCTTTCGGCGTTATCAGGCTTGGCATGGGGTTTCCCTCTGCTTGATCACATCATTCATTCTACCACTTTGGTGAACCTGGGCTTTCGGGTTACATAAACATGTTCCGGTGACACAGAGGGAGCCTGCAAAATTCTTGTCGAGATGGAGTCCATCTCTCGCATTTCGTCCTTGATGGATCCAGGTCAGTCAACATGGATTCCTCCTGGCTGCAGTACGCTGACCCGACCCCAGCACGAGACCTGACGGTCGAGGCTGCCCAAAGTATTTCCAAAGCACTCAAAGGAGGGAGTTCGTCGGCTCGGAGTAACATGCCGTTTGTGAAGCTCAAGGCTCTTCTTGACAGTAGAAGCGACCGCGATATCCTTGATGGTCTGAAAAGAGTGGTTTCTGTATGGTGGTCCCGTTTCTATACGGTGGTCCCCCTCGCTTACCGATGTCCAGATGATATACCAAAACAAACCATGTTTGCCATACTTTTCGTCGGTCGTCAAGAACGTCGCCAACCCCAATCTCGAGGTCAAGAAGCTCGTGTATATTTATCTGCTTCATTATGCCGAGTCCGATCCAGATCTGGCCCTGCTCTCCGTCAATGCCATCCAAAAGTCTCTCACAGATCAGAATCCTCAGGTGAGAGCCCTGGCACTGCGCACCATGTCGGGGATGCGAGTACCGGTCATCAGCCAGATCGTTTCCTTGGCCATCAAACGGGGCGTAGGTGACATGAGCCCCCATGTGCGAAAAGCCGCTGCACTCGCAATCCCAAAATGCTACAACCTCGACCCGAACACCCTCCCTCAACTGCTCGACTACATCTCCACGCTCTTGGGCGATAAGCAGTACTTCGTTGTGGGACCAGCAGTTCAGGCATTTCTAGAAGTATGTCCTGATCGCATCGACCTCGTCCACGTGCATTACAGGAGCCTAGTTAAAAAACTGGTCGACATGGACGAATGGAGCCAGCTCGCAACGCTGAAGCTTCTCTTGTTCTACAGCCGACGCTGCTTCCCTAGGAAGACTCAAAAAGTCACCAAAGTCAACAAAAGGGGCTTTTATGAGGATGAGCCCCAGGAGACTATCGATACAGGCGAGGTGATAGAGGTGCTGGACCCCGACCTAGAACTGTTCCTCAAAGCATGCAGTCCCCTGTTACAAAGCCGAAGCGCGGCTGTCATCACCTCGGTCACCAGCTGCTTTTTGTATCTGGGCACCCTAGACTACCTTCGCGAAGCAGTTGGCCCGTTGATCGGACTGATGCGGGGACCTCCTGAGGTGGAGGAAGTGGCCCTGTGCAACATTGTGTTGGTTGCCTTGTCTGCGCCGGACCTTTTCGTCCCCTACGCGTCGCATTTTCTCATCCGGGCACAAGATTCTCCACCGATATGGCGATTGAAGATCGAGCTTCAAACCCTCATTTTCGCCCATGCGGCACTCCATCTCAAGTCCATCATTCTGAGTGAGCTGGAGCACTTTTCTCATTCGGCCGACGTGGAGCTCACACGCGAATCGGTCCGTGCCATCGGGCGATGCGCACAGTCCGATCCTAAGGACGCTCATCGGTGCTTCCAGGTTCTCCTAAATCAGATATCCAGCTTCGACAATATTCTGGTGTCGGAAGTGCTCACCGTCATGCGTCACTTGATCCAACAGGACCCTGCGTCGCATCGGAAGACGGTGGTGCGGTTAGCCCGCAACTTGGACAAGACGACGAGCCCCGAGGCTCGAGCTACCATCATATGGCTGGTGGGAGAATTTGCGAGCCTGGATCCCGACAACAACATCGCCCCGGATGTTCTTCGGATATTGGCCAAAGGGTTTGCGGACGAGAGCGAATCTGCCAAACAACAGATTGTTTTACTGGCTGCCAAAGTCTACCTGCTATTCTTGCAGAGGGGGGTTGATGGTGCTCGCGGAGACAAGAATGACCCTGGGGAACCTCAAGGCGATAATGCTTCAGGTGTATCGCACGTCTCAGTCGACTTGGACCATCCAATTGCCAAGCTATGGAACTACGTCCAGCTCCTCGCCCGCTACGACACGTCGTACGATCTCCGCGACCGAGCGCGACTTTTCAAAGCCTTGCTGGCAAACCCTTCGTCGACCCAGCTGGCCGCTCTCCTCCTTCTTGCACCCAAGCCAGTGCCCCACTCCCCTTCCCCCTCGGAGAATCGAAAAGGCCTGATGCTAGGCAGTACCACCCTGGTCCTGGGCACGGACGTGGCGGGCGTTCTGGGTCTTCCCGGTTATGAGGCACTGCCTGACTGGGTCAGTGAGGGCCTTGAACCCAACCCGAAACTCCGAAACGCAGCCGACGGTGGTGAGAAGGAAGAATACGTGCCCCGGGAGGGGAGGACGGCGAGCTCAGTCGCCGCCAGTCGGAGGCTGGACGAAGCCGTCAAGGAGCGTGGACTGGAGAAGGTGGTTGCGGCGGGGACGTCCAAGGCCAACGCGAAGCCCCGAACTCTCGACGACTGGCTAGCAGAGAGTGAGGGAGAGGATTCAGAAGAGGAGACGGAGGAAGAGACGGAGAGTGAAGAGACTGACGAAGAAGAGTCGGAGGAGGAGGAGAGCGAGGACGAGATGAGAGGAATGACGCGGGGTCTGATGGCTTCGAATCCGTCGTGAGTCTTGAGTCTTGACCAGCAGCGGTCGTTATGAGCAGCAGAAGATCCTTGACCGCGGATCACGATGATCCTGCCCTGGCGCTGCGGGCGATCCTTGTTTACTTTCTTCTTGGTGTGAATACCCACTCCCTACCTTTTACCAGTCGAGTAAGGCTTGAAACGAGAAAGAGAAGATAGTCGCGACGGGGGACCCTGGTCGGCGAGTCATTTTGATGCCTCGAATGCCTTGTACTCGCAGACCCGGGACTTTTATCCGTTTCATTGTCTCTTTCTCGTTGTTCGTACGTAGAGGTAGAGCTTCGTATCTCCGACCGAGCGCCATCGAGCGCCGTCCTGAAGAGGTGTGGTCTCGAGATTATCCCCTACCTTGCCCCTTGCCTACCGAGATACGAGTCCTTGACTCACTGCATACACGGTCCTCTGGATCCGCCATGACAAAATACGTTGAGGACCGTGACTGGGTTTCTGACAAGTAGTTTCTTGGAGCGGGAGAGAACTCGGGAGGATCGGTCCGTCTGCGGTCCATGCCTGGCTGTCGTTGAACCGAGTACGAGGGACATAGGTACATGCATACTCGGTACATGGGTTGGGAAGGTAGGTCGGAAGGTACATAGGTACCTTGGAACACTGCGTGACTGCCCATTGCGCATAGACCAACGAGGTCAAAGAGAGAGCGAGTAGGTAGTAACAGACCAATACTCCACTGAGCGGGTGATCATCCTGATCATCCTCGTAGCGTAACGCTGCGACCGCCGGGGGGGGAGGGGGGGGGGGGGTTGGGAGGCACCCATGGAGGGACAGAGGGAGGGACCACAGGGCACGGGTGATCCTTTCCCAAGATCGAACCAAAGCCGTCGTCTAGGTACTCATACGAGCACAAAGAACGAGGTGCAAGTGCCACTACACCGTCGCTTCACAATGATGAACCACACCGGGTCTCTGAAAGGTGTCAATCAGTCAGTCAATCGCACTATTACCTCACAGAGTTACCGAGTAATCCGCACCCTTATCTCGTATCTACTCCGTAGGTAGGTATTATTGTCTCTCGGTACAAGGCTAGGTGGCCAGGTACACTCTCGCGCGCCAACGGAGGATCCCCCGGTGGCCCAAAAAAAAAAAGAGCAAAACAAGAGCGCACAGGTCATCTCGCTTCGCTTGGAAGGAAATCCCAAAGATCCTATTTGTACTCGGTACTCACGGAGTGTACTTGTACTCGGTAGAGCAAGGGCAAGGGCGCCGGTCGTATGAACTGTAGCAGGAAGGAAGACCGAATGAAGTAGTACCAACTGGGTACTTGGACTACGAGTATTAGTATTAGGTAGAGAACTCGGATCTCCTTTCGATTCCGAAACTAGAGTAATAATTAGAGTCCGGGTGGGACCGCATCCCGTTGGGTCATTGAGGTCCTGAAACATCTGCTATCAGAGCATCCTTGTGCAGCCTTGTTGTTACAGATCACCTCTGATCCCGAGGAATCTCTTCAGACTACTAGGTACTACTCGCGTACTCGTACGCGGTCACTCGGGACAAGCATTCGTCCGCACAAGAATCGAGGCAAGCACACGTAAAGGAGTCAAAATCATCTTATTTACCTAAACAAACTCCTTCATGTGGGTTCAAGTGGTCTGACATGATCTGATCTGATCTGGTCCTTGTCTTGTCCGATGGATCTTGTTTGTCCAAGTACATAGTCATCTAACGGCCGTTAATTATATGTATCCTCCCCCGTAAGACTCTTCAGCACCGATTGAGGTATTACCTGTTTGAGAAGATGCACTCTCCCCGCCCCCCTCCAAAAGTTCAACCGTCGGGCATCTCGTTTCAGAGTCCGCCATGTATTTTTCTAGGTACAACCCGTACAGAGTAAAGCCTCGGGGGATTAAATTAGCAGAGGCCGTTGTGAAAAATGTACCCATTTTGAGAAAAATTTCGCTTCCGGATATTAGGTCCACGTTGGAAGAGGGGGGGTCCATCGTACAAACTTATACCAAGTACGGGTACACCTAGTAGGTATGTACCGCGTCGTATTATCTCGGCAGATCATCCAACTCGGTCGGTCCTGATAGTAATAATACTCCGTGTGTACCTCGTGTTTGGTACGGCCCTCCCATCGCATCGGTGGTGGAGAAGGCTGATCTGATGGCCTGACAACGCCACAATGGACAAGTACCCGACCAAATACACTACTCAAACTCGATCCTCGGAACAAGCACTCGGTAACATGATAACGTGGTAGATCAATCATCCTCAACGACCACTACTAATACTATTGCTTGTACTATTACTTGTATGGAGTAGGTAGCTTGGTAGGTACGAGGTACAGACCGACGGCCAACGCCTCGGTAAGCCAAGCCACATCCGAGGAAGCCAGTCACTCAGTCTCGACGCCTCGAGGAACAAATACCCGTGGACTATTGTAGAAGTTATTCCTCGTTCTTGGTACAAGGAGGTACTACGTACTCGCCAGGTACAGGTAGGTACCTGTCCCTGTCCTTGTATCCCCTCCCATCCCACGAGAATGAGCACGGGCACGAGCACGAGCCCAATACCTCTTCGGGCCCCTGAGTCTCCAGGCTGACAGGCCAGTGGCCGCGCGCCGACCCTTCCACCCATGTCTTTGTCGAGATTTTCAATTCTCGTACTTACTCACCTACTGTACTCAGTAGGACTACGCGGTACATACATACTTTGTACCTGTACCCGTACCCGTACCTGGGCCTGGACGTTTACCGAGAAATCATCCAACATCACTGGTCGCACACATTGCCTCCTCTGGTAGTTTGTGTTTGTGGGAATCATCATGGCCCCCCCTCTTTCTCTGAAGCTGCCTGAGGTGTTCACCAATTCACAACCGAGTCTGGAATTCAATATTGCCAAGTATGTGCGTGTATTTGGTGACTTTAATGCCTACGTAGCATGTCTTATGTAGAGAGAGCAGCTCGTGACAGCCCTATCTATCCATGATCGAAAGGACAAGTCCTGTATAGAATACATCGTACTTGATTGTATGTAGTCATTTGAACATTTGACGCTGAGTGGCCTGTCGGCCTGCCTGAATGATTGACTGATCGATCGACTCTGACGGCGCTTCTACACACTTTCCCCCAGGGCCGTTCCATCCCATCCCATGCCTCCGCCCTCCTCTTCGCTAGGAGAACAGCGTCGATGTGAAATCTTAGGAAGAGAATGAATAATCGGTATGTTGAGGGGTGGTCAGCGCCAGTGGCTCTAGCATGTACTCGGTACATCATGTACCCTCAGAGAACGAGGTACGTACTTGGTATTCCGTCACGTCTTCCGAGCAGTGATTGATCTTTATGGTAGCATAGAGGATACAGGATACAGCATACCTACTCGTCTGGACCAAAACCCCCCAGACGGAGACATCCACCGCAAATCCCTGACAATGTCCGTCCGCGCACACGACCGGGATCGTATGTACCTCCATACACTACGAGGCACCTCGTCCGAGTACCGAGGACACAGAACGGCCATTCCTCCCTCGTCGTGAGCGCGGAGTCCCGAGTGGTGGCTCACGTCGAGGCCGACCACTTATTTTGCTGTGCCATCCTGAAACACCACGAGAGGGTCAAAGATTTGAAATAGGGAACCAAAAAAACGTGCTTGCATGGCCCGTCTAACTTGGACCTCTTGACATTCAGCACAACAAGGACCCCCACGTTTCTGTACTCCGTAACGAAGTACTCGGTAGGTACAAGTACAATGCTGACAGGGGGATCGGGTTTCAGCCTGGCAGGGTTTGCAGCGACCGAGTGAGCCACTCACATACGTCTTTGGCGAACTTGAGTTCTCACAGCATCTGGAGCCGTCACCAGTAGTTTGCTGCACCGTGAGCAGTGAGCACCACACCGCTGTGTGGGGATCCAGTGCCGGCTCAGGATCCCGGGGCAGACGCTATGCAGATCAAAAGTCGAGGGATCAAGTCGTCGTCATAAACGGTGGCATAAACAGGGGTCCCAGTAACAGCCGAACAAAGACTCAAACACAGAACACGAAGAAAAAGATAGTGTAAGCGGTGGAGTGGCGCTGTTATTTCTTCATTTGTATCGTAGAGACCAGCCTCGCAAAGAGGTCCAGGTCGAGGTTGCAGAGTCGCCGTCCAATTTGCCGAGCAACAATCACCATTGCCCTAACAGTCCATCCCTATATCCTTCCTCCATGGTACCCCTTGATCCCTGCTCCTGCTGTACGACGGTACCGTCAGAACCTGCAGATTCTAATCACCCATCTCTTTTTCCTGACTTGCCAGTTTTCGGCTTTCCCGTAGACCCTGAAATTCTTCTCTTCCAATGTAAGACCAGCCCTCTGGTAGTGGCAGGGAACTGAAGCGACCTATCAAAAAACAACTCCCAACTCCAGGCGACCATTTTCGCTTTTGGCGCTCCAAACAGATCAAAGCACTGTCAAACGGGGAATCCTGCAAACGCAACACCGTGAACACCAACCCATGGTAATTAGGACTGGAACGCTCAGATCGAGAAAAGGACGAGTAGTCGTAGAAAAGTCGTCATCGCATCATCAAAATGCTCGGAAAAATGTCAAATATGAGTATGTTGGGGGAGGCCACGCCCTGACATGCAAATGGCACCGGGCAACGAATAGTGACCAATGCTAGCTACCAGAGGGCGAGTCTTGTAGAGTGGGTTTCCTTTGTTCAGTCACCTGTTCGGCTTGAGATGCTTCCTGGCCGGTTGCGTGACTCGGGTCGACTGTAATGGTGGCTTCATGCAGACATCTTTCGCAAATTTTGTGGTGGCAGTTGGGACATTCTTCAGCATCTGCCTCGAACCCAGTCCGGCATTCATGGCACGTTCCACCTTCAGCCCCGGGTCGAGGAGCCTCGGTCACAAAGTTCGAGGGATCAGTTGCTGTTGTCGGGTCTTGTGATGGTTTCGTCCGATCTTTTCTCGGCGGATATCGTGAGCATCGAGAACAGCGTCGGTGTTGGCATCCCACGCAGACTCGATCGCGCCCAAACGTCGTCGAACAATTGTGACAGGTGTATCTGACTCTCATTCGTATGTTCTTGTACACCCTTTCTGGTGGGCCTCTGTACCTCGGTTCCCATTCTGTTTCATCTAGTTCTAGGTTGTGTCGGGCAAAGATGGCTTGCGCTTTAGTGAACCGCATGTGTGACTCGGCTGTTGCGTCCTTGGTATCAACAGGTTCTTGTGACGATGTCGAGCCAGGCTCGATAGGCTGATCTCTTTCTTTGTCTATTTTGACGGTTTCTTGTTCAGGTGAATGCTCGATTGGAGTTGCCCTGTCAAGGTTTAGCGAGGATCTCTCAGGGAAATCTGATCTCACTGACGGTTTGGGAGTCTCCTCAGCCGCTTGCCTTTGGGGAGCGACAGGAGGTGCGGGAACAGATGGTGTAATAGTGGCAGACACAGCCGGTTGTGCAGCGGTGGGTTGCTCTCTAAAGAAGTCCTTAATTCTGTTCCAAACCGTTTTCAAGCCCTTCTTTTCCTTCAACGGTGGTGCGTCTGCCCCTTCCATTGGCAGAGTGGAATGGATGACCTGATAGAAATGGTGTCATAGGAGATACAAGGCAATCAGCGAGACCGCCGGACGGGTTGAAGGACAAAGATCGAGTGGCTTGATGATGCGACTATTGGCTGTTCGGCTGACCCAGGGAATTGGAACAGCGAGGGTGCTGAAGAGATGTCAAACGTCAAATTATTGGTGGTGGAATTCCGCAGGAGTGGATTGGAATGTGACTTGTCGGGTAGCGAGATCCCTGTTCCCAATGCTGCGGTCCATTGACTTGCCCAGTCGACTTCTAACGGCGCCCTGTCAGATAAAAGTGTCAGGCTTCGGAGGAATGCGATGTTGTGTAGTAGTATGTTTGAAGGCGCGAGGTAACTCGTAGAGAGTCGAGAGAAACCTCAGATAGGCCAGCGATAATATTGGGAAGTGGCTAGTCTCCGGTGTGATCGAAGATCAGTGCTGATCGTCAATGGCAGGTGCAGTGCTCTCAAGTGGTGGGTGGTGGGAGGGTGTGAGCGATCGACAGTGTCGCGGAGTTGGTCACCCGGCTGCCAGAATGCGAAGACGAAGACGAGGGAGGAGGAGAGAGGATCAGAAAGAGGCGACGAAAAGGTCAAGAGAATCGAAAGGGTCGAAGAGACAGAGCTGGATGGATGGTGTGCGAAGTTGTGTGGAGATAAGGGAAGAAAAGAGGAGAAACCACGCGCGGGCGTGTGGATGGGGGATCGAAACAGAAGCAGGAGAATGTCAGAGGGAGCATTGAACACTGAGAACTGGAGCTTGGAGCAACAAGATTCAACGATGATGCAGCACTTGGCACCGAGAAGCTGCAGAAAAGGATTTGCGAGAACTGGGAGACTGGGAGCCTAGGGACCTAGGAGCCTGGGGGATACGCACCACGGTCGACGGTCCACTCAGCTACAGGTAAGTCTCGTGTGTCTGCAAACGGGCATTCCCTTAGGGTGGCAACTACATCTCTTAGGCTTCCGGAATCCAGTGCCCCAGCCAACAGAAGTCCAGTCCAAGTGGGCGAGTCGGGCCTAATCATCATGTGGAAACTGCAAAAAGCGTGGGTGCAAGAGCCATGGGCTTCAGAATGGCCAGGGAGGGGAAATGTAGCCCGGGAATCAAGGAGTTAGGCACCGAGGCTTTCAGGGCTTAACCTGAGATAGGGAAGTGTTGGGGTGGGGAGAGGGCAGCCATGCCGCTCTGTCGGTGCGGTGGATGCCATCGAGGGGCGCCCATTTCGTCAGACCACCTATGGGGTAGCTGGACAGCGAGCGCGGGCGTCAGCAACAACCTTTTCCCAGAAGCGACCCGAGACCCAAAGGGCAGTGCCGTGTGTTCAGCTAGTTTAAGGTTAGAGGAACGCCCGGGGAGCTGCTTGGGCCCGTGCAGGCTTAGTCCCGCTGTACTGCTGATGGTGTGTCTCCAGAACACCGGTGCTCTGGCCTCGGGTACGTGGCAACTCCCAGAGCCCACCCTTCCGAGCCACCTATCAGCTCCAGACATGTTAAATAGTATCTCGTATAGCGGTAGCCACCAAGCAAGTCGTCCTTTGTAGAAGTTACGAGGATACACAATGAAATCTTAAAAAGAGTTATTCCGAGACGAATGAAGACTCGTGCACAGGAATATCCCTTCACTAATGTGGCAGGCTACTTGAGAACTCTTTTGCCGTCTCGTCTCCAGTGACCCGGCTCTGGGCTAACTATGCAACCGGCCACTTTGGATCTTGCCGTACCAAGCAACTCACCAACACATCATCCCTCTTCGGTATTCGCACTTCAATTGCCGCAAAAGCAATCGTCGTCTGCCCTCCAGCTTCGTCTGACTCCTCCCCGCTGTGCTCACCTATGTAAGGAGTCAGCGAAGATCCCATCCCCGGGACAAGCTGCTCCGAAGGCTCCAAAGACGCAGGCGAGCTTCCTGCGGCCAGCTCCGTCGAATTTTCTATGCCCAGTCACGCCAGTCAACTTGCAGCAGCCCAGTCCTCCTTTTCTCTAGCTTAATACCTTTCCCTGCACATCCCCGAACTATCCCTGACCTCAACCACTGGCGGCGTGGCGGATTCGGCACATTATCCAGCTGTCGAAATCCACCTGGCGCTCTGCAACCTCGCTTGGATCCATCGGTGTTACGGCCCATCCCAGCGGAACCAGGACTGAATATTGGAAGAACGCTCGAGGAAGGTATTGCAGGACACACTGGAAAACTTCAATTGTCAAAGGACAGATTGCACAGGAACACTGAATCCTGGACAGCGACTCCCATCCGTTAAGTCCTGATGCGTAGCAGACACAAACACAGACCTGCTGTTCCCCTTCGACCTGCGACCTTCGCCATCGGTACCAAGGTCTCCCTGCAGAAAATGCAACCAAGTTCTTTCGGACGGGCATCCGAGCAAATAAAGACGCATTGGGGCTTTTGTAGACGAGGGTGGCACTTGACCCAGAATTACATGCATTCAATCCTGTCGTGGCAACACCAAGACAACCCGTAAATGAATACCCCTGAGCTCGACAACGCACAACTGCTTGTTTTGACAAGGAGGACTTGGTTTATATATACTTTTGTCGGGCTGGTGCACGGGTATGCATACCACTCTACAATGATCCAAAAAAACATCTACGATTGCATCCGGTCCTGCCGTTATTCGAAGCAGCTTTGTCAACCACCACGGTGCCCCAATTTCAAGTCCTTGATGGGATGGCTCTCTTCTGCGGAGAGCGGCCAAGCCTGATCATCTTGCTGAGACTTTTTAGCTGAAGCTCTAAGCTGAGGCCCAAGCACACCCACAAACTTCGGAGGGTCCAGACTCCAATACTCGGTAATTGAGGATTGATCGTGTACTGTACCCGGAGCCCGAGCCATCGTCCAACATTGGGCGCAGAACATCCCTTCGACCGCACCCTTGGGAAAGATCAAGACACTGATCGTATCTCCCAAATGGGTACATAATCGTATGTGCAGGAGCTATGGTTAGATCTTGTCAGCGTTCAAATCTTTAGCCCACGGACGAAGATTATTTCCCAATCTAGAGAAATCTTAAGATCCGACAAAGGCGTTCATCGGTGCACAGGCCTTTTCCCCCGGATTACCGTCCCTAGCGGCTCTCGTGGCAACGCACCAGGCGAAGCTAAGAGAAATTCGGGGCGTTGGTGAAATAATGGCCAAGGACAAGGAAGTGGCGTAGGCATGTACGTACATCACCGCCCCATACGTCCTCACCAACCCCCAACCCACCGGCACCAACAGACTCTCCGGCTGGCGGAGATAGTATGGGCGTTCCTGCTCATCTGAATCCATTGTTGTGGTATCGAAACAGTCACTAACTACGAACAAGCCATTGTGGACTATATAGCAAGCACCCGTCCGAGATTTCGTGCAATATGATGATAAATTACATTGCACGTCTCAGCCTGCCTACATTGCTTCACGTCCCCGTGTCGTGCTTGGTATTGTTTTCAGCAAGGAATAAACTCAAGAGATTGGGTTGAAGAAGCGTTGAACTGGGTGCATTTCTAGGTAAGGGACCGAACTGGTATCTATGAATACTGCGGGTTTAGGTGGTAGGAATGGAAATCCTCAGCGCCCATCATGTGGCACCCCCAATGCCTTCTTCCCTTTCGACAGAGAGACCACGCATTGCCAGAACGAGGCTGCCATCGACTTGGCGCCAACTGAATTCTTGAGCTGCGAAGAAGCCACAAGTGCTGGGACCTCTGCAGGGACAGATTGAGACGAGCAGTTCGTGGCATTGTCGAGGAATTCCACCATTTGGATGCACATATCGAACAAATTGAAAGTCTCCTCGACAACATCTCTCGCTTCGGTTTCAGTCAGCAAAGATGCTGCTTCCCGAAATGCCTCTTTGAACTGCTCTTGCAACCGGCCATCGACGCCCGCATCCTCTTCACTCCGAAAGTCCCAGAAGGATAACGGAATTATGCCTGTACGCCAGAAGTCCGGGCCTGCAGACACCAGCTGCCCTCGAATCCAGCGACCGCCGTTGAAAAGAGCAAGGTACATCGCCCAAGTGTAGGCCAGCAAGACATGTGGTCTCGTCGACAATGATCTCTCAATTTGCAAGCGAAATCCACTCGATTCCTTGTCCAAGGTCTCAAGTTCTTGATATTGATCCCGTAGGAGGACTGACTGCAGGATTTCGATATCCTTTTGGAGCCGGCCGTACCTGAGCAGCCAGGGAAAGCATACACGCTGGTAGATCTGACGCAGTCGCTGGTCTAACTGGGCAGAAGCGAGCTGTGTCTGCAGGAAGGTCTCGAAGGCATTGTATATCTGACCAAAGACTATAATTCCCTTGGCGTAAGTGAATGGACTGTCTGCAATTGGTGGCAGACACAATGGCAGCCGCCGGGTGATCTGGAGGTTCAGGGCATGGTGCCTCTGGCGGGTGGAGCTGCGCAGCTCTTCTGGTAGAGAAGATTGCGCGCTTTGATTCCGATCCCCCTCCAAGCTCATTATTTGATATTTCTAAGTCGACGGTTCTTTATAATATTGTCTTGCGAGTGTATCTCCGGAACTTTATTGATCTTCATACATTCCAGGGGACGGGCAAGGTCGCTGTTCGGCAGGGCTTCGGACGATCGAGCTCGCTCTAGCAATAACTGTAAAAGGTCAGGAATAGGGTCGAGGGAAAGAATATCGATGGTAGAAAGAGTGTGCTGGTGTCGTAGCTCGTGACTCAGGGGGATGGGGGTCATGAGGTCTTCTCAGAGACTTTGCCATTCTCGCGTCCCGCTACTCGGTACTACTACTCGAACGCATGTGTCTTTTTGTTGTTTATGCTTTTTGTCCTGGTGGAGCTTGAAACAGACCCAATTTTTTTGTCCCTGCACGGTGACGACATCAATGCGAACTCCGAGTCACCAAGTCACTGACGCGGAACTGATGACACGAGATACCCGAACACGTGACACGGAGATTTGAATCTACCACGCAAAGACGTAGACGGCAATGAAGCCCGTGAGGGGCCGATAGCCTAAATTACCTACATACTACGGCGAAATTTTGAGGAACTGGTAAATGAAGGATTGTGGGTTCAGCGATATGAAATGACTTTTGCCCTCACTTGACACTTTTACAAACGATTCCCAGGACGAACCATACGAAAGAATCGGTAACTAAACAGCAAATTCGTTCATAAAAATCGACTTCGAAATGATTGGAGTGGCTATTCTAGGCGGAGGTATGCGCAATATCCTTCCCGTTTCGGCACTGGGATGTCGGCCACAGTGTTGATTGATCGTGTACAGGTATCTTCGCTCGAGAGGAGCACAAGGTGCGCAGAACACAGACAATGTAGTCTTCCATTCTGTTACTGACTGGAATACCCACCTTGACAGCCAGCCGTTGAGGCTTCGAAGGATTTGACGCTCAAAGCCGTCTACTCTCGCTCATTGAAATCGGCAAAGACGCTCGAGGTGGACGAATCCAAGGTTGATCTCTACTCGGACGACTCAGGCGTAGGAAAATCTTTGGAGGATCTTCTGGCCCGCTCGGATATTCAGGCTGTCATCATAGCCTTGCCCATAAAGAACCAGCCCGACTACATCCGCAAGGCGCTTTTAGCGGGCAAGCATGTCCTCTCGGAGAAACCGGTCGCAGAGAACGTGAAGGACGCCGCGGAACTCATTAAATGGTATCATTCCGAGATAGAGCCCAAAAAAGTGACCTGGGGGGTTGCCGAAAACATCAGATACACGAACTCTTTCATCCGTGCTGCAGAGGTTGTCAAGACGAAAGGTCGGCAATTGACTTTCAGATGCCGATTGCAGACGCTTGTTGAGGGTGGGAAATATTTCGAGACTGCGTAAGCCGCTTTGTCTGATGCCAGGGTTGTTGAATGATACTGACCGTCTGCTAGATGGCGCAAGAGCCCCACGCACCAGGGAGGATTTTTGCTCGACGGCGGCGTACATTTCACTGCTGGGCTTCGATTGATGATGGGCAAAGGCAATCCATTGGTGTCGCTATCAGCTCACTCTGCACAGCTCCAAGAACACCTTCCTCCAGTCGACACCGTTGAGGCTACAGCAAAGAGCAAGAAAGGAGCCGTGGGTACGATATCGATCTCTTTCGGAACAACTCACAAGGGGAGTGAATGGGCTGTCGGTTGCGAGAAAGGTCCCGTTAGCCTCTCGGGCAATAAGGTCACCTATGATGACAAGACTGAGGAGGTTCAAGACGAAAAAACAGGCGTCCCGGGAGAAGTGAGAGCCTGGGGAGAAGCATTGGCAGCTGGGAAGGTCAACGAGAGTCAATCTCCTGAAGAAGCTCTGGCAGATCTTGAGCTGATCGAAGCCATGTTGCGGAGCGGCGAGCAGGGAGGTGTTCCGATCAAGTTAGAATACCAAGAGCTGTAGAACTAGCAGTGACCTTTAAGAGACCAGGCTCTATTGAATACATAAACATGACCAAGTGCGAATATATGCGATGGTCTCAAGTTTCAAGGCTGTTCAAGACGCCAATCCCCTTTTGGTTAGCTGACTTGTTTCCCGCGCACAGAAAGTCACTCTTGGCACTTTGCGAAATTCGACCCCGATTTTCAACCAAGGCGCAGTTGTCGACGACTTCTCACTACAACCTTCGCTAATTGCTTCAGCTGTCCAGACCATACAATTTCCAAGGTCAGATTATCGCAGCCTCAAAACACCCGTATGATAACTGACACTCGCGCAGATGGTCTCCGCAAAGAAGCACGTCCCCATCATCAAAAAGCACAAGAAGGCGTGGCACCGACACCAGTCGGACACCTTCAAGTGTGTGCCTTCAGCATGGAGGAAGCCAAAGGGTATCGACAACCGAGTTCGAAGACGGTTCAAGGGTCAAATGGTTATGCCATCGGTACGTCCGAATTTTTGAGTCCGCGGTCAAAGTCAAGGAAAAGTGCACCAGCGCATGGACTGAACACTCTGCAAATGCGGCATCATCGGCATACAAGAACATTGGGCTGACAGGAATAACGTACAGATCGGTTTCGGCTCAAATAAGAAGACTCGACACATGATGCCTTCCGGCCACAAGGCTTTCCTCGTCCACAACCCCCGCGACGTCGAACTCCTCCTCATGCACAACCGAACATACGCCGCGGAAATTGCGTCTGCTGTTTCGTCACGGAAGCGAATTGAGATCGTTGCGAAGGCAAAGGCATTGGGCGTCAAGGTCACCAACCCCAAGGCGAAGATCACCACGGAGTCATGAGCGCGGGAGTGGTTGGATGTTGAGGTCACGTTCGTGGATATGAAACAATGAGAGGTGGCCACGGGCTTTTTGTTGCAAAAGAGGTCTAAATCGGAGGCAGAAGGGCTAGAAAGCGACCTTTCCTATGGCTGGACACCCATCCTGTGCACCACGAGAAGCCCTCGATGGTATGAGGACCCAGAAAATTCGATACCAATCAAGAACATCAACATATTCCGGACCAAGGCTCCGTTGTTTCCTTCTGCTGCTTACAGTCTGCCAGACTTCGGCTGTTCGAGTTTCACGCTGCCTTGTCCAGTCCGTACGTTGGACCGCAGGGGTGTATATTCGGACTGAGACCCTCTAACATGAACTTATTTCCTCTCTTTCCCAGAGCCCCCTGATGAGAAGTGCATTTTCAAAGGAGACCCCTCAGGTAGTTCTGCTTGAATCACTGCAAAATACTGGACAGGGACCACAGTGCATCTTGGGAGCGTACCCAATTTACCCATGTGTTGGTCGTACTTGGCTCCCAGTCTTAGCCAAAGGACAATTAACAATACACCAGTCAAGCTGTAGACATTATGATCGTTCTTTGCATGTGAAATGAAATTTCACATCGACAATGAATGTAACAGCGTCGGTCGTCTCGTTTCAAAGTCCCAAAATAGCTGCGAGATTTCGGCATGATTTTTACCGCAGGCGGAAACACCAACTCGAAAGTTTTTATGCGGCACCCAGATCTTTTCGCTGATGACCGTATTTGAACCTATAAACGGGAGGATATAGAGCAATATTCTCCGCCATCGCAGGCATCTCTGGCTCCTTCACCTCGTATCCTTGCCTATTTGGCAAGTCGCGGTCGCTTACCCAGGCCCAGCATGGCGCTGATCGCAACCGAAACCAAAGCGCCGCAATTCTTCGATGACAGGAAGCCGCTCGCAGATCCTCCGTCCGTCGCAGTAACACCTTGTGATCCCTGGCCTCGACCCTATTACCTCGAGAATGGTCTCCGGCGCGTGGCACCATATCATTTCACATACAATACCTTCTGCAAACAGCGATGGCGGGGACGGGAAATCCTCGACATCTTCGCTGCCGAGTTTCGAGACCGCACGCGCGAGTACTACAAGCAGGCAATCGAGACGGGCCAGATCTCGATTAATGGGAAACCATGTAAAGATGTCCATACCATTGTTCAGAATGGCGATGTCATCTCACATACGCTGCACAGACACGAGCCGCCCGTGACGGCGCAGCCGATTCGAGTCATCAGTGAAACCGATGAAATGATTGTTATCGACAAGCCCGCCGGTGTGCCCGTGCATCCGGCTGGTCGGTACAACTACAATTCAGTCGTGGAGATCATGAAAGCGGAGCGCCATTTCGCATTCAAGCCCTTACCCTGCAACAGACTTGACCGGCTGACCAGTGGTGTAATGTTTATTGGCAAGACAAGCAAAGAAGCGGAGGCTATCAGTGAAAAACTACGTGGCCGCACTGTGCGCAAGGAATACGTCGCAAGGGTCAAAGGCCGATTTCCTGACGGAGAAGGCTGGGATGGAGATCCAATGCGTGGAGGTGTTGTAAATTGCGAGGAGAGCATCCTTCAAATCAGTCCCATTGTCGGACTCAATCGAGCGCGGGCAAGCGGCAAATCTGCGAAGACTTTGTTCAGACGATTGGCATATTATCCTCACAAACCATATACGACGGCAAATGCGTCAGCGACGTCGCCAGACGGCCAGACAATGGCCCAGCCGGCGCCTGCAATTTCTGGTACTGAGAACGAAGGTTACAGCATTGTCCATTGCCTTCCTTTGACGGGGCGAACACACCAGATCCGGGTTCACCTACAGTTCTTGGGACACCCGATTACGAACGATCCAATTTATAGCAACAGAGCCGTATTCGGACCTGGTCTTGCCAAAAACGATGCAAGCCCCGAAAAAGACGAGGAGATAATTGCAAAGCTGAAACTCATGGGGAAAAGTGAGGTTTCTGACTCTATATCATACGAGCAGCAACGACTGGCAACGCTTGTGGACCAGACACAACAGATGACCGTGTCTGAAGCTGCCGAGTTGAGCGATACATCACGGGCATCTGCATCAGCAAAAGACGATCCATATTTCAAACCATTACCCGCAGGCACACTACATGCTGGGTCTCTTGCAGCATCCGGCGAAGATGCCATGCACCATGACCCTCAGTATGGGGCTTTCGTGAAAGCGCACGATGAGATGGTGGCCGACTACAACAAGCGGAAGGGAGAGAAAATGACAGGCGAGAAATGTGCAGTATGCGACACTCCATTGTACTCGGATCCCGGCCCTCATGAGCTGGGCATCTATCTTCACGCGCTGTCGTATGCTGATGTGGTCGAAGGGAGCTGGAGCTACCGCAGTCCTGCGCCACAGTGGGCATTGCCTCCAGAGGGCGTTGATGGACCGCGAGATATTGGTCCTTGGGAGTATCGGGGTGATGAAGTCCTTGAGATCGGCGACGAGAAGGAGGATGAGAAAGTGAAGAACCGGACCGGGTTGATGAAGAACAAAGGCGAAGTTCTTTGAGCGGTTGCTTCCCTGCCAGCGCCTGCGTCAGATCAGATCGCAGCTGGTGATGATTCCCTACGTAAAAGGGCGCCCGAAGCCTCAGCTTTGCTGGTGTGTCCCTCGTATCGTCATACGAGTGGAGGCGGGTGGTAGAATCACTCAGGACAAGATTGCCTGGGCGGTCAGTTGGGGGCGTCAATACCAGGCTAGCCAGCTCATCACAGGCGCGGATGTGATTTCTTCCTCTGCTCACCAACCACCTAGAAAATCTTCCGATTGGGGGCCCCTCTCCCGAACAAGTCACCAATACCTAATAATGCTAACAGGAGCCTCCCCAGCTCCAACCCAGCTCTCCCACCCCCCCATTTTCAACTTCGTTTTCCCACTCCCTCACTCTCCGATTGCGCTCTACCCATCCTTCGCATCTCCGTGTTGTCGCGCTCGTTCAATTCGTCCACCCACTGACAACCGGACAACTCATCGCTTTTCCTTTCTTATCTGGCCTTTCTGACTACTGAGTTGTTCTCCTTTGAGCCGGACAGGGCTTTCAGCAATCCACCCCTTCCTTTCCTTGATTTTCGCATTGATCTTTGTCTCCTACCTGCGTGTACCACTTCTCCATCGCGCAAGTCCCCCCTGGTATATTGTGCGCGTATTGCAGATCAAGATGCGACCTTTGCCCAGCAAGCGAAATCCCCTGGTTGCGCCAGGCGCAGCACCATCCTGTACGTCCGTGTCCTGCGAGCTATACATTGTAGGAGGAGGAGGAACTGACATATAAACCAGATGAAGAGCTGGTCAGTTATCGGCGACTGGGCAAAACCAAGTTGACAGTCAAGCCGGGTCAAGTGGGAACATCGAATGCGACAAGGGCAGAAAATCTGGGTCCGTTCGAGTACGCGCATCTGCGGGCTCCCCTGCCGGAAGACCTCACGGGCTCCGAGATCTTCGCCAGCCAGTCGAACCAAGCTCACCCAGAGACATATTTCCTCATGGTACGAAAGAAACCAGTAACGAGTCTTCCGTCGTATCTGACCCCTTTTTTTTGCAGAGGAGAAGTAAAGATGGTTTCGTGAGCGCGACTGGCATGTTCAAGATCGCCTTTCCTTGGGCAACGCATATGGAAGAAAAGGAAGAGCGTGACTACCTCAAGAGCCTTGAATCAACAAGCCAGGACGAAGTTGCGGGCAATGTCTGGGTGGCACCGGAATTCGGTATGCTGCGTGGCGCGAAAGGAGGACACTGAAGGCTAACAATAGGTCCAGCTTTGGAACTCGCCGAGGAGTATGGACTATCGGATTGGATTCGAGCACTTCTTGACCCAACGGACATTTCGCAAACGTCATCAAGTTCTAAAAAACCAATTGCCGCGCCTCCCAAATTTGATTTGCCCACCGACAAGGCTAAACCGAGCGCTCCCGTGAAAGCGCCTCGTTCGAGAACCACCCGGTCTATGTCTCCGGCCAAACTTGCAACCCCGATCAAAGCGAAAGCATCTCCGAGAAAAAGACAGACCAAGGCTCAGAAAGAGGCCAACATCGCAAATGCAAACGCTGCAAGCGCTTCTCTCCAGTCGGCACTAGACGACGCTGCATCTGTGGTAGAAACAGAATCCAAACCAGAGTCACCCGCTTTGCCTAGTCCACCGGCGACAATCACAGAGCCGGAGATGGTCAAGGTTGAAGTGGACCAATCCATTGAGGTTGATGGCACAACGGAGACTACACACACGAATGTAACGGTCGAAATGGCGGCCGGCCTGCCCGAACTACCACTCCCCGAAGACACGGAGAAAATGCTCGAGACGGCCCGAAAGATGGTCGAAGAAGCCAAGACTCTGGAAAGCTCTCCAAAGATCTCGAAGAAGCGCAAAGCGCAAGAACCAGAGCCCAGCGACATTGACGCCGAGCTTCCAGCACAGCCTGCTAAGAAAGCGCGAGTACTAGAAGAGAAACTGAAGAGGGAAAAGGTGCGAACCCGGGCAGTTTTGGGTGTTACGGCGACTTTGGCTATTGCGTAAGTTTTTCTGGCCTCCGATGACGATTCGTATGCTAACGATTACAGCGCTGCAATTCCATACTTTTTCTAAGAGGAACTCCTTGCTTAATATGTTTTTCTACCTTTTTTTTTCGTCTGAGATACCACTTGTTCAGAATTCGTGGGTGAAAGAAGGATTGGCGAAGAATTGAATTGCACGGATGGAGACGAAAGATCCCTTTTTCGGTTGACCGGTCGTTGGACACGAGCTGACGGATGCTCTTTGAGAAGAAAACTTACTGCTCTTCTGGAGTTCTTTCAATCTTCAGTATGTCCCAAGACCAGATATCTGGTTTGACCAGAGGAACGGCGAAACGCAGCACCCAGTTGGACTGGTTGTGCTCGTACAAAGCAGGACTAAGTGCAGACACAATCGAATCCAAAACCGTTTAGTAAAAAAGAAAAAGCGCCTCCAGACGCTACAGAATCCCTTGGTGGGCGCATATCGAGGTTACAGAATCAGAGCCGGCGACAGAAGAAAGGTCTACCACCTGGTTTCAGCCTCACGGGCTCCACCAAGTGGGTTGACCTGCTCACAAGCAGCGGGTGACCAGTTTGGAAGTGCAAGTACTTGTATTGTATCGTGGCGATGATGATGTTGATGATGTTGCCAGAGTTCCAGACTTCGTTGGCGCGGGCAAACGCTCCACAATGAGGTCCGGGTGGCTTGTCACGTGCTAGAATTGAGGCGGCCCTGGGCGGACCAAAACACGTGTTGGTGGCTGTTATCCACTCCACGTGACACTCCGACCTGGCACGCCTGGCACGTCACATTGTTTTTAACGAGCTGCTGAAACACACCATGTGACGAGCGACCGTATCTCTACCGAGTCCTACGAGGGACTTGAGTGTGCTCTGTATACGGCTGGAGCCATGGAATAATATCATACTTCTGGGTGCTGAGATTGTTTGAAGTTCTTGTTTGGCTGGTGTCGCATTTGTCCAATTTTGTCTTTCATCACAGCGTTCGAGTGGTCCGTTCCTGGACGCGCTACCAAAACATCACCTTCAGGTGGCTGTTCACAGGCGCCTACGTTTCCTTCCGTACTCGATATCTCATAACATAATCTCCTCTGGTCGTCACCAGCTGATTCTCATGCCCATATGAACCATTTTCTTCATCGTTCAGGCTCTACATTTCTCTTCGGATCGTTTAAGCATGTCTGATGGCCACCTCGATCCTCCTCAATACCGCACCCATGGACCCGTCGTTTGCAACCTTGTATCAGCCTTCTCCCGATCACACGTGTCCGCAATGCGGCTACCACTTACTCCCGCCCTCCGACCCCTCCGCTGAAGCTGCCGAAGCCAGTCGCCGCATCCGCGATCTTGAAGCGCAGGTGCGGCTCCTCAACTCCAAAGCCGCTGCAGCAGTAGACAAGCTTGCAGACTACGAGGATGAAATCACAAACCTCCGCGATGCATACTCCAAGTCTCAGCAACAGCAGCAACAGGCAAAGCCGAATGCGAGGCTGAGCATTTCACCGCTAGAAGGAACTGGTTCTATTACAACGCAGGCCCAAACGCCGCCGCCACAGCAACAGTCAAGGCTGGCAAGCATCAGCGCCCTTCTTCCAGGGCGTAGACGGGAAGCCAATAGCAGTCTCGGGGGACAGAATCCCTTGACACCAGCCACAGGCACATTCCCACAAAACAACGCCGCCGTCTTCGGCAGCACCACGTTATCTCCGCCCAAAACGCCTTTTTTTGGAGCAGGAACGATACTTGGTAATTCTGCACTAGCCCTCTCCGATAACAACCAATCGACTGTCAGCCTCTCAACATTACAATCTTCGCTGGAAGAAGAGCGCACGCTTCGAATACGAGCCGAATCCTCCTTGTCACAAACTCAAACTGAGCTAGAAGAGCTCACAGCACAATTATTTGGACAGGCAAATGAGATGGTAGCAAATGAAAGGAAAGCCCGGGCAAAGTTGGAAGAGAGGGTTAAAGTGTTGGAGCAGAGGGATGTTGAGAAGAGGAAGAGGCTAGAACGGTTGGAGAAGGCTGTGAGCCGGATTGAGAGAGTTCGAGGCATGGTTGGGGACTGAGACACTCGGATCGGGACATCGGTTTTGCAAGGACGAAGAGTCTGAATCAAGAGAGATGTCTATGAAACCTCGTCCATACCCAGTTTGAGTACTTCGGCCTTGGCTATGAGTGGCCCCCGAGTTGGAGCTCACGAGCCGATTTATCGTTCAGACAACGGTTGAGCGAAGACTTGACACCACAAACAGCAACACTCATCTCCTACCGATGAAGGAATCGGGGATAGGTAGTGAGCGCAAGGAAGTGAACCGGAGAAACAGGCACGACTACTACTTTGTGTTCCAGTGCAGGAATGTCTCCAGCAACCGCAACTAGACTTGCACCGCCGAGATCAGCATCAACCATTCAAGATCTTCCGTCGACCCTTGAGACTCGCACTCCCCAAAAAGGTCGTAGAAAGTTCTGCGAAGGGCTAAACATTCGCAAGGCACAACTGGGATGAAAGAGCAAGCAAGGGAAGCCAAAGCAAGAACGCTTTCTCCTGGAGAAATGAGCGTCATTATCGCCGAACATCTGCAAAGGAATGGCTATAATCAGATTGGGTTGCAGAAAGGCACTCGGAAGGATCAGAAATCAATCAGGCTAGAAGAGTTGGTTTTGAGCGCAGAACATGTTGCGTGAGTGAAAGCGGCACTGTCTGTAATCCTACGCCGTGTATCGCATCCAATATTTCTCCGACATCCCTTCAGAAACCACTCTTTGCAATGTTTTCAATATGGATCGCGTTCGATGGTGTTGATCCCAGTGCCAAGCCCTGGTCGTTGTGGTCACGTGCTGAACCGCTCTTGACATCGTGCTGGGTTGTCTGCTCCTCTCCGTTCCTCTTCTGTGTCATGTATCAACGACAATCTGCCTCCTGGCACTCCCTTGACATGGCTTTGTTGAGGAAACATGCTCGTAATTCGAGATCCAAGTCACCATCATGGCCGCACAGCAAGGCCCCGTCAACTATCACCTTACACTCTGATGGAGCAGACATATCAGCATCCAAATATTCCTGGCCGCAGACCGAACAGGCTCGTATAAAGTGGAAGTTTTAACAGGTCTCACTGCAATGGAAGACGTCTTGTCAGGATGACATGCTCCACATCGGAACCCTCCTCAAAATGCTATGTTCAATGTTCAATTCTTGATATGAGTGCCGGATTTGGCCAGTGGCATCAGCGGAGGACCCCCAAAGTCCTTACCTCCAGCCTGACCTTGTCCTTCGGCTTGACATTTAACTAACGAGGAACTTCGACCTTCGTCTCACTGCGATCCGCCTTTTCCGTCTGATTAATGTCTTTGATCGAGGCAAGGGTGATTGGAAGCGCAACACACCTGTGCTGCGACGTTTCGTCCCTATGCTGTCGGCCGTACCCGGACCTTGTCCACGTGAAGACTGAGCCCCCTTTTGAGGTTTGGTTTTATCCGACATCAGTATCTGCTTGCCCAACGGATCAAAGTGTTCCGACTAGCACAATTGTTTTCTGCTGACAGTGATTGGCCTTTGTTTCAGAAATCTGCCCCCACTGTCATCAAGGCGCCTATCCCCATTTTTATGGTTCTTTACGTGCGAGGATCGCCTGGTCGAGACTACGCGTGCTTCCCCATGACGAAACCTGTGGTGTTGGACATCCCGGAGTACGAGTACTTGTATACGCCATCAATTATGCCTCATCCGATGACTGACACCCCGAGCACTAGCCAGATTCAGAATTTACAGAGCCGGTGGTGGTCACATCTCGAAATTCGATGTGCAGGATGTAATCTCCCAGGACTGCGATGCATGCCTTGGACCTGGCAACACTGTGCCATTGTTCCCGTCTCATAAACATGACCAGTTGCGCCCTGGGCACTGTTTCCTCTCAGAACAACCCCAACGACGCAAGTGGGTAACAGATCAATATGCGTTTCTCGAAAGACTACTCGGTGCTCTTCTTATTGATGGCAGTTTCGGTGGCTGCGATTGAACTCGAGAAACGAACCACAGTCCCAGCATTCGTCCGGGAGTATGGTATGCATCTTTCTGTGTCTTGGGGCTTGTCTTCCTTGGCTTCGTCTGGGAAGGAGGAAGCCAATGTGACTCTTACAATGGGAGAAACTGAACTGACGAGATGTCCTCACCACAGCTCCCATGTTGTTTCTCGATCCCATGGAAGCCTTCTTCCCCAGTTCCATCGCCCTACAAGTAGCCAATAGCCACCCCGAGGACTTTGATGGGCAGAACATCTGTCCACCTGCGCCCTTGACGTTGTCCAATCTCGACAGCCTGAACCAGTTCAGCAACAACGGCCGCAACGTCTCCCTCACGTCCGACCAAGGCATCCGCGCCCTCCCTCCGTGGTTCCACGGCGTGAAGCCCAACCCGGACGGCTCTTTGCCCTGCAACACGACCGCCTCGGCCGTCGTGACGGTGGAAAAGCCCGACGACGTCCTCGACGCGTTCTTCTTCTTCTTCTACGCCTACAACCGCGGCGACTGGATCTTTGGACTCCCCGTGCTCGAGCTGGGCGACCACGTCGGCGACTGGGAACACGTCATGGTGCGGTTCCAGAACGAAACCCCCCACGCGATATGGTACAGCCAACACTCGAGTGGCCAGGCGTTCACGTTCAGCGCCGTGCAGAAATTCAAAGACGGAGCCCGCCCCATCGTCTACCCGGCCAACGGTACCCACGCCAACTACGCGACCCCGGGCGCCCACCCGCTCGACATCACAGGCCTCAACCTAGGCACCGGCCTGCCCATCTCGCCCGTGACCGACGAGACCGGGCGCGGCCCGCTCTGGGACCCCCTGCACAACGCTCTGTTCTACTCGTTCGACAACGCCTCCCAGAAATTCACCGCCTACAACGCCCGCGACCCCACGGCCTGGCTCGACTTCGCCGGCGTCTGGGGCGACGTGCAACTGCCCCTCAACGCCACGGGCCAGGTCGACCTGCTCGGCCAGATCAAGTTTGTCAGCGGGCCCACGGGGCCCAAGTTCAAGGGCCTGGGCAGGACAAATGTTTGTAACACGGCCGACGAGGCTGCTTGTCTCGTTCTCACGTCGCTGGACGCGTGAGGGTGAGGCACTAAAATTCGAGGAGGGGAGATATGCACATTATGTATGTATGTCTAAGGACGGAGGACCGAAGATTTGGTGAGATTGAACTCGAGGTATGTAGGGTATGTACAGTAAGGTAGCTCACTAGCTGGCTGGCCTATCTGGGGTTTTGGGGGAGTTTTGAGCAAATCAGTGAAAGGGCATCCGGGATATACATCCATGTTTTGTACCACGACTCTCCTGCCTCTCTTCCCCCTTTTCCCTTTTCTCTCTCGCCTCGAACGCTACATGTAGACCTCGAACATTTTCTCATATCCATCCGAGGAGAAACGGTCATTTGGACCATAGACACCGTGTCGCTCTGCTTTGCTCTGTTCAGCTCACAATCAGGACTTGGGGAATGGCAACCTGGCACGGACAAGCAAGGTATATATGTATACATTACAGCAGATTGGTGTAGCGAATTGAAATACAATATTGACAATCTATTCTCAGTAATTGTTACATGCATTCGAAGGGTATCGTCGGAGCTCTATGGACATCAAAATCTCGGTGCAAGACCGTCTAGTCTCTCGCTAACAGGTACATTAATCATTGCTTCAGTTGGTTCTCAATAGACTGATACGCCCAAATATGGGGTCTGACAAACGCCTCGCAAAGGATGACGACCGTTTTCATCATTCGCCAACGTCGTTACATTGCTTCTCTGTGAGCATTTAGAGCTGGATCACATCCACCTCGCTGAAATCAGGCGGAGCGCCACTGTAGACACACCGGCCTTTGGAATCAAGACCCTGTCGGACATTGCTCACCCAAAGGTGTTGGCTGAAGCGGCCCATCCGGTGCACCTCGTCGTCGCTAACGCCGAGTTCATCCCGAGGAATCCAGATGACAGGTCTTTTGGCTCGGAGTGCACTGTGTTGGAAAGCCCTCTGCACGAGTTGATCGCGCTCTTCCGGGGTCAGATCCTCCAGTTCGTCATTGACTCCTCCAAAAAGAGCATCGGCAAGTTGGTTCCGGGCCGCACGTTGTGCTTCAATGTCCTTCTCATTGCCCGTGACCGGGTTGAAGTTGTTGAGCTTGTCAAAGACACCCTTTGGTTGTTGCAAATGATGAGACTGACGCTTCGATGCTCCACCGACTTGCGATAGGCTTCTACTTTGTGAGGGATTCTCCCATTCACCAAAGTTCGATGCTCGACGGTTCCTTGTGTTATCCCGGTCGGCCCAGGATTTGCGATTGTTTCTCTGAGAAATATTGCGCGGCACTAGGCCTTTCGTCTTGTCGGCTGTCATCTGGGCGGCTGCTTTCATCATTCGTACACCTCTGCTATCCTGGTCCAAATTCATCGCGATCTCTGGATTCTGAAACTCGTATGGCTCAAGCTCAGGCAACTTCTGAGACCTTTGTCGTTCGAGTCTGTCCTGTCTACCCTTTTCAATGTCTTGCAGTTCGATCTCGTGTTGTTGGCGGTCTTCCTCCATCGACTGTCGCTCGTTACGCTCCAGCTGGTCTTCGAGATCTTCATCTTCATTCTCGTTCTCAATGAGTCCATGTTTCCTTTGCATTGCTCGAGCAAATTCCTCGTCTCGTCGGACTGCATCATCTTCCAGAGTGATCGGGAGGTATCTAAACAATGGGCTGAAAGCGTTGTTTAGCAGTAACTGGTAACCGGCGGTGAGGATAAGGATCACAATCATCCCGATTGCCTGGCCTGAGCAAGCGACGTTCCCGTGTTGATCTCTGACCAAGAAAAACATGCCAATCAGAGCAACCTCCATCACATAGACACCAACAAAGGTGAAATTAATGGCGTTGGGATACAAAAGACCACCTGTGTCGCGAGTAAAGCGATTGACGTAAAGTGTGTTATACCGGTAGACAAACCAAAAAAGCGAGAAGGTGACGATGTTGAAGAGAAGGATCAGGGGCGAGATAACGGAATAGATCAAACCGATGCAAGCCAGATTCGTGTACACAGGGAAGAATGTTCCCCACTGGATGTTTTGTAATTGAGTCTGTCGTGTGAATTTGGCCCGGGCTGTATTGTCGAAGAGAGGGGCGAGGACGAACCATCCGATGAGTGAGCCCACTTGCAGCAGGGCTCCAGCACTCACTGACAAGGCCTGGAGCAGCATGTATGAGAAGAAATAATTGCTGGCCTTTGGGATGTTGTTGCCCAGGAGACTCGGGACGTTGGTCCAGCCGTCTACGCTCGTGAAAAGCGCAAAGAACTGGGTCAACGCAGAGGCGATTGAGACGACCAGGAACAACTGGACGAACAGGAAGCAAAAGTAGTAGCGTTGAACCGAAAGTTCCACCAGCATCCCAGACGGTGTTCCCTGGCATCGCACCAGGAAACGAAGGATTAGAGGGAGCAGGAACAGTAGCAGACCGAGCAATGCCGCGGGCAACACACCTTGAAGGACACTCCGGATCCAAGCAGGAATCTTGAGAACCCAATGAAGCCACTCCCACGTCTTTGCAGCAGTCTCGAGCTGCGAAAGAGCCGACGTGAAAGCGATGGGGATGGCCCAGAGGATGATCATACCAACCACAATAGCGACAACCCCGCCTGTTCGAATATATGCAGACCACCATGGGATCGACATGTTGTCCCAAATCACATCATTGGGATCGATCTCGACCAAGCGTGGAGCCATCTGCTTGGGCAGATGGTGACTGACAGCCTGACACGCCATGTGTGCCGCGACCTGGTGATTGAACTGGACAAAGGCGGAGTTCATCAGTGGGAACCGTTCAGGATGGGCTTGATCATCCTCTATTTCGACATTGAGCCTGGCAACCTCCTTTCGGCAGTATCGAATGGTGTCAACCTTTTCGCCCATTAGAGGCAGCGAAGGCATCCATTGCCAGCCGAATATTGGTAGTCGCATTGTTTCGCGATCTTTATCGCTCAGATAACGTCGCCAGACTGCATCATCGGGGTCGTGGTCAAAGTTCCATTCAAACGCAGATGGGTAGTCGACTGGCTCCTTTTCGTCTGAGCTGAGACCTATGGCTTTTTTGAGCTTTTCAACTCTAGTCAATTGCTTTTCTGGTCGAGCCTTTTCACCCCCCATTGTACTACCTTGAGAGATCGGGCTTTGGGATCGTTGAGCGGTGGAATTCTCCATTGTCCTTCCCCGGTCGTCAAGTGAGCTGTCATTCTTTGCAGAGGCATCTTTGGCACGTGTTGTTCGCGGTTGTCCGTATGCTTTGTGGTTCTTGGATGCCGTTGGTCTGACTCTTTCTACTTCGTCGTTGTCGTCGTGAGAACTGCGGCCCAGTTCCTTTTGTTCGACATCAGCCGCCACGAAACCATTGGTGGTGTCGATGGTGTCAGTGACGCCCTTGTTGACACCACGAATACCTCCCAGCAATCCTTTGCCAACTTTGTCCAGACCGTGAGTGACCGCAGATATGCCTCCGCCAATGATGGGGATATTGAACCGGTCTCGCTGAGGCTCGGGAATCTCGTCCTCCTCATCATCGCTTGACGCCGAGTGAGAACCAGCCTGATGGCCGTGGATGACATCGTGGAGGTTATGCTCAATCTGATGAGGGTTTCCAGTCGAGGTTCCATGGCCATGGGCTGCTCGATCACCAGCTTCATCCCTAATGGTAGCTCGCAGCTTCTTTTCCTCCTTGGTGAGTTTCTTGCCGGCCTCCTTCTCAGCTTTGGCAATACCCTCCTCGTGCTTTTTGAAACATTTCCTAATAAGCTCTGTTTCGGCTGCTTCAAGAGTTTTAGCGAGCTTATCGCGTCGTTTTATCTTGGCACTGAGCTCGTCAAAGTTGCGGTTGATCCAGATGTTTCTCAGTCCGCCAGGGAACACGTCGTAGAGGCCATCAAGAGCCTCGACGTTGCACCACTTCTGAGGTATCGAGCTCACCAGCACAGTGGTAGCAGAGGCACGCAGACGATGTTGGGGGGAGGTCAAGTATGCCTGCCGCATTCGGATGTAGCCTCGTAGTTCGTCGAAAGACACGTAACATATCCAGACAATAAGGCCCAAGGCCAACAGCCAGTGAGCCCAATATCGACCTGTGTGGTTGGGAGCGACATTCCCCCAAGCCAGCTGATCCAAGCCCGTCACATTGCTCTCATTCTCATTTTTGCCGAGTGCAAATTGTGCCCCACGACCATCGACCATGTTGAGAGGAATAAGAATTGGCAAGATAACCAAGGCCGCCGGAACAAATATTTTGAGCAGCGTACGCAGATATCTCAGGAAGAAATAAGCATCCAGGCCACACTTTTGGACGAATTCGGAGTTTGAAGTGGCAGTCACAGGCTTGATCCATTTCCACCAGCCTGGGGGTGAAGGGGTGGTCCGTTCTCTTTCTGGGACGAGGTATGTCCGCGGCTGGTATATTCTGGCGAAGCGGTCCTTGATGACGAGAAACACTCCGATTTGGATCCCGAACACTGCAATGGCAGTGACCAAGGACGCAGCGAATTGACCAGCACTTTGACCATTCTTCTGTTCTGCTGCGGTGGTGTTCCCACCGAGATTCAGGGTGTCGTTCAACGACATTTTGTATTATGCTTGACTTTGTTGCGGTAATCTTCTTTCTGCGTGAAGAGATCTTGTATCATGAATGCTCGTTGCTAAAGGATTGGTCGTAGCATGACTGGTGTTCTTGTGACGGGCTGCGTACGCGTTTGGAACGTGAGAGGTGGGTGATGCGGTGGACGTCACTGACCAGCGATATTAAGCTGGGGCCGCAGTTTCTGATGAAAGGGACCGTCCTTTCAGGGGGTCCTCGAAATAAGTACAAGGACAAAGCAAGAGAAGGGAATCAAGGACGGTTGTTGTAAGAATGGAGAAAGAAGAGATTCAACACACAAAGGAAAGCAAGATCAAAAAGTTGGAATAGAGGGCTTGGGAAGTACGTGTTCTGACGATCGAAAGGCAAGGAATGAAGATCGAGATAGACTGTGTGAGGATCGCATGCCTTGTGTTGGTGCCTCCCAACGTCAGTGACGTCGTTGGTAACGCGCCACTGGCGCCACCAAACGCACAGGAGCACCTAAGGGGGGTTCGAGGGCCCTCGGAGGCCAATCAGTACAGGTGCTACAGCCCGCGTCCAAGCAGCGGTGCGACGCCTAGGCCACCTCTAGTCTAGGCGGCCCGCCTGGCGCCCGAATGCCCACTCCGGTTGCGCATGGTAAAGACCCAAACAGCCATCCGGTTGCCCATCCAGGTTTCAACCCAGGCCGTCCAGTGGTGCAAAGCGCCAGCATTCGTGGCGCAGCAGACAGACAGATTTGATCGACTGGTCACAAATTCAGCATTTCGTAGCGACAAGCGACTGACAGGCGAGACGCCAGATGGGAGATACAAGTATAGATGCGATCCGACAACTGGAGAAAACATGAAACACCTGTGCTCGGAACAAGCCCCGTCAGATCTCATCTTCACCCGTACTCGTATGTTTAATTCAGCCCTCATGTTGGTGGCGAGATTGAGTTTCGAGGCTCTGGGCGAGTCGGCCTCTCTCGCAGCCTTGTGAACCTCGGAAGCTGAAAACCACCAAGTGGCGCGTGCTGCACCTCGCAAGGCTACCAATGTATAGTAACACTTCAGCTCTCCTAGACCAAACACCTTTCTCTCCATAACAAAGATTGGCCCAATTGAATACCCTTGTTCAGCCATTGTGCTTTGTTTCCGTGTATATCCCTCCACCCTCTCACAGAAATCATGAGCCAATCGTCCATCACCGTCTCCAAAACCTCATCTGGAATCACTACAATCACCATCACCCGCCCCCATCGCCGCAATGCCGTGAATCCATCCACCGCCCGCGCTCTATACTCGGCCTTTATTGAGTTCGAGGAGGACGCCTCGCAGAAATTCGCCATCCTCACCGGGTCCGAGGGAGCCTTCTGCGCCGGCGCAGACCTTGTCGACCTGACGGCACAGTCAAAACAAGATCCAGCCACTCTGGATCCGCTGGATAGAGATCATCTGCAACCGATTCAAGACCGCAACTGCGGTCCCATGGGCCCATCGAGGTTGCAGGTGAAAAAGCCCGTCATCGCCGCAGTGGCAGGTCACGCCGTTGCCGGCGGCCTCGAATTGAGCCTTCTGGCCGACATGCGGGTGGTTGAAGAGGACGCAATCTTCGGCGTCTACTGTCGTCGCTGGGGTGTGCCGCTGATAGACGGCGGCACAGTCCGCTTGCAAGCCATCGTTGGCCTGGGACGAGCATTGGATATGATTCTTACCGGACGACCAGTTTCTGCGCAGGAAGCTCTGTTCATGGGTCTCGCAAACAGAGTCGTTCCCAAGGGCAAGGCGCTCGAGGAAGCCACGAAACTCGCCGAATCACTACTGAGGTTCCCCAACGCGTGCATGAATTCTGACCGAGATTCTTGCTACTATGCCGCATATAATGCCCAGAATTTTGAGGATGCCATGAGGTACGAGTACGATCACGGGGTCAAAGTAGTGCAGATGGAGAGTATAGCTGGTGCTGCTCGATTTGCCGATGGACGCGGGAGACACGGCGGATTTGACAAGTTGTAACCTCCGCAGCCTCGCTTCTCTCTAACAGCAATTGATAAATTCAATGATAGTCTATGATTCGGACACTTATTGGGCGGCGATCGACAATCATTACACGGTGTATTGCCTCGTCCCTTTCCTGTGGTTTCTAGATCGCGTCCTTTCGTCAACGTCCTCCATAATAACCCGCGCTTTCGCCGCCACCGCCACCATGATACTGACCCTGACTCTGGTACGGATCCTGGTAGGCGGTCTGGTATTGATAGTCTTGCCCTTCTTGACCGTAACCATAATTACCAGCATCTTGTCGACCATATTGCTCGTATCCGGGAGGTGGCTGTAAGGGCATGGGACTGGGCGATCTGTTGTCTGCAGCCGAGCGCTCACCAAGCAGTGCGGCTTCGTGCAGTTCCTTTGATCCCCCTAATTCACTGCCATTCGATCCGAAATCCTGATCGTCTAGACCGCGTGCTCCGCTTCCAGGAAAGCCGCCCATGAATTTCGTGTATTTGTTCAACGAGCCGGCGACCCCGTGGACACCAGGAATAGGTAACTTTTCGGCCATGCTCAACATATTTCCCAGACCACCACCTCCCCCATGTTGTTGTTGCGCCGGTTTATGCCCCGTGAAATTTCCGAGAACGTTACCTACCATACCCAGCGGATTGCTCCCTTGGCCGCCGCTCTGGTGTCCACCAGGAATGAGATTCGCCAGTCCACCAAATGCTCCAGCGTTTGACGAAGACTGATGTCCTCCTCCGCCACCATGCTGCTGTTGACCTGGGATGAAGCTCGCAAGGCCGCCCAGTGGGCTAGAACTTGTATGGTGTGCTCCACCGGTGCTTGGAGCAGAATGCTGTATATGCTCATTAACGCCTCCTTTGTGGTTCTTACCAGCTCGTACGCCGTCTGAACTCAACAGGCTTTCGAGACTGCGTCCCCTGTCGGGTAAGCCGTCCACCCATCGCGTTACTGCACCGAACATGCTCCGATGGACTTCGAGTCTTTCATTTCTGAAGGCGGGATGATGGAATATACTCTCAACATCGTGCATGACCTGTTGCACCGGGACATCAGGGTGTTCCCAAGCATATAGAACTCGCGGAGCCACAAATTTGAGAATCTCAGCGGCCACATTGCCGGCAGGTTCGTTCAGCATGTTGCTGAAGTGGTCCTTGCTCAGCATTGAGTGCGTGGGATCCGTACAATGTGGATCCGTCCAGACCTCGTATTGATGCTTTGCGGATGAACTCAGAACGCCCTCACTACCCGTCTGCAGTGCCTTAGAGATTGCGTTGAGAATTGGTCGTACAAAAGGGGCCAAGAGTGAGAGGATGAACACCGTCAGAGTTTCGGTGATACGGTCGACAAGCGCCTCTAAACCTGGAATCTTTTCGATGATACCACTGATTGTCCGAACAACTTTATCTCGGAATGCTAAAATCGGATAAATCTGAGCGACCGTCTTTGCTGGGTCAAAATTTGAGAGTCCTTCGAGAGCGGTTGAACTGGGACCACCGGATTGTGCTGGTGGCGGTTGTGGTTGTGTTGGATTAGCTGACTGCATAGGCTGTGAGGGATGAGAACTCGTATGTTGTGGTTGCTGCCAGTCCTGCTGTGTATTGACATATTGGTCGTGTGCAGCATAGTTTTGGTTCATCCCCTGATCATGCCATTGAGATTGATGTTGAGAGGGTGGTGGATTGTTGAAACTCTGCGGCATGCCTTGGTCATGCCACTGCGATTGCTGTTGGTACTGAGGTGGGTTCTGTTCCCAATGTGGCTGATAACCTGATTGAGACTGTTGATTCCAAGCATTTGCGTCAAAAGACTGAGGTTGCGACGGATAGCTGGGATGTGATGCCCGACTACTCTCCCAGTCATCTATCCCCCTCGAGGAGCCCCCATAATCCTCAATTCCACGATAACCCCCCTGCGCGCCAAAGGCCTGGTGTTGACTAGCACGCGCCTGGGCCTGAGAGCTTGCCTGCAGTTGTTCCGCTTCATCACAAAGGCCTTTGGTTCCAGGGACCTTGGAGAGAAGTTTGACTAATGTCATCAAAGGATTTGATGACTGCGCTGCTTGCTGAGCTGTGCCGAGAGCATTGTCCATTTCGTTCACTTCACTCTGGGTGAAATGATCGGTTGCCTCTCCGAGGACCGAGTGATAAAAATCCACCATCCCGAAAGTGCCTGTGACAAGTGGGAAAACATGTTTTCCGCGTAGATTGATCGCGGTGGCAGTTCCCACATGAGGAAACACATTGTGGAAGCCCATTTCCCGAAGCGCCAGTTCAACGTAATTTGTGTGAGCACCAAAATCTTCCAGTGTATGCAGGCCTTGTCCAAGACATCTCAAAGCCTCAGCGAGATCCTCATCTTTCCCTTTGAAGAATCCGTGGCCATTGGTGTAGAGACGACCGTGGTGGATACTGCGTTCAAAGCTGTACTTGACGAAAGCCGCGCTGGTAGCCCAATCGCCTTTACCATTCGCAATATAGTTCTTCATGCCCGTCTCCATATCGATTTGTAGCTCAATGTCTCTGACCGGACCGCGGAGGCGTGCATCGAACTTTCGGGCATCCTCGTTGTCATTGTAGTCTTTAGGGTTGCTGAAGACTCTGTCAGAGTTTGTTGCTGGCGCAGGAAAAGGGATAAACCTACTCAATATGTTCTTCAGGTCGATATACCCCTAGGCGCTCTGAAGTGACCTCGAACTCGGCTGTAGCATACCCGAATCCAAGAAACGATAGCAGCCAAACCAAGATACGAATGGTCTCTGGTTGTGCTTTCTTTAAAGCTCCGGTATCCATGGCCTGAGAATAGTCGCGAAGCCAATTCCTGTGACGGGTGGTTAGCCCTCGCGTTGTTTACGCCAGAGTAGAGTACGGCGTACCCAAAGTAGACACGTTTGATCATCATCGAATTCCATTTGTGATGACGGATACAGGCCACAGTCTTCAAGACGTCTTCGATATCGCCATGGCGCCAATTCTTGCCCTCTACCGCAGAGATAGAGGCAATGTCTGTGCCGAGTGTCAGCGGGGGTCTTCTGACCAGATATCTCTCTGGGTTACGCACTGCCAGCACCAAATGCATGGGCTTGGAGGGTGAAGAATACCAGGCCCAGGAAGAGACACAACAGGATATTGCGTGTGATTAGAGCCATGGTTGACTGATGTCTCGTCCACGACGAGGTTGTTACTTGTGTTAAAGCAAGCCCGAAAAGTGGAGGATTGAATGAGAAGAATCTCGGACCAAGAATGTCAATGCCAAGATGGAATTCGATCTGTGTCTCCTGGGCCTGGATTATGAGCTCAATCGAGTATATTCACATACGTATCACCAGCTCAAAGACAAGTCGCCATCTGGAAACTAATATTCTCGAACATATTAGAGTCGCAGAGTGGCTTGACGTTATAAGGCGGGACAGTGAGAGGGGTGACGGGATCCATACAATGTTGGTTTACCAGCCACATTTGCCAACCCACTGAGACATCCGCCTAATAACCCCATGCCGAATCTGACCAATTGTTTCGAATTGTACGAGATACTAACAGAGAGACTTATCTGCACTGCCACCGGTACATGTTACAAGTACTCGTGTGTCGAATGGCAGTGATGAGTCAACCTGCGTCTGGTACCTTGCAGAGCTGAATCGTGAAAACCAAGATCGAGGCTATGCAACAAGCATCTCATTCCCTCAGGTACAGAGCAAGTACGTGGGTAGTCCACGACTACATGGACAGCAGGCAGAGGTGCTATGGCCTCTCTCAACCGCCTATCACGAAAGACATACGAGGACACCAAAACAGTGCAGAGCAGCAATCAATACCGATACTCATAAATTTCTCAGCTTTCTATTACTAGAAATACATCTCATAACGGCGGATAATCCCACCGACCGTTGTGCTGGACAAGAATGTGGCCCCATGAAAGTCCTATCGTTTTAAGCCAGCCGTCAACCGTGAGATGTGCATTTGTTCCATCCTTTTGTGGAACCAACATAGCCAACCAGGAAACCCAACATCAGCCCATCTGGTATCTTTTGTTTTCTCATCTGTCATTTCCTCCCCCCCCAGGTACCGAATGTGCAAAACTCCCGTAAATCCACAAGTAAATAAGAACCGCCAATATGATGATGATCGTTGTCTATCATGATCCTCTTGACCTTGGATATGCTCGGGAAACTCCATGCTAAAATCAAGTTTGTCTTTGAAATCGCTGTGCCACCGTACTCCCTATTGATCCTATCTTCCACAAATAGCTGGTATCATGATGTCAACTTCGTCGAATCGCTATGCCTTTCCGCTCGTTGAAAAATGTGACAAAAATTTTCCTCGTCGTGAGATACATATGTACAAATCAAATGGGAGGTTGGGAAGGTTCGAGGTAGGGTGAGAGGGGTTTGGCAGGCACCGGAAAGCACAAAGGCAAGCGACACATCATAACACCAACCAGCACGAATACAGCGACACAACGACAACGAGCACGGAGGTTAGAGCACTCCACAAAGCAGAGACCCTTTTACCACCGGCGGGCGGCAGTTGTTTGCTGCATCATGCCTGGTGAGATGGATGATGGCGGGCTCGCAATGCGGTTACCTGTGGAAGGGTTCACAATCGGAATGGCGTTGTTGCGGGAACGAATCGCCGACGGTTGATGGATCTTGAGGTTGTTGTGGTTGCCGGCGAAGTTTGGAGACATGTACGCGGACGTGACAGTAGAGGAAATAGACAACGCGGGTGTGATTTGTTGTGGTTGTATCTGGGATTGGAGAGGAGATGAATCGGGCGAGCCACTCGACAACGATGAGCGATCCGACGAGCCTGACGTTACCGACTGACGCTTTGCGAAGAAGTCAGTAAGAGACGAAGTTGTGGAGAGAGGCTCGCCACAAACCTCATCAAATGTCAAGAGGTTTGGGCAGAACTCTAGATCGTCGTCTAGGTCGAACGACCGTCCTGCCTCGAAGCGCGCCCGGTATGCACTTATGCTTGGAGGTTCGGTAACAACCAATTCCTTGACCACTTTGGGTGCACGGAATTGCCGATGCGAGTGCTGGGCCGCGGACAACCGGGGTGCTCGTCGAGACCGACCATGGTGGCTATGTGTCTGCGGCATAGGCTGCGGATTGGTGGCTTGATGTTGTTGATGGGCAGTGTAGTAGAAGGTCGACATGATGATCGGGTGAGGACGACCGGGAAGTACACAGGGAGGTCTAGGATGGGAATGTAGCGGTACAGTTGTATTGTCGAAGAGGATGCCAGCTAGGCAAACAGTGGCAAAAAAACAATGGGTGTCAGCTGATTCAAGGAGCCTCTTGGAACCGGCACAGAGGGTCTATGCTGAACAGGATCTTGTTTGGCAAGAATGTCTGGAACAGGCGTCAATGGAAAGAAGTAAGAATAAGGCGTGAGAGGAAAAGGCTGTAAGGGAGGACGAGAGTGGGTGGCAGGTAGTAGATAATGGCAGTGTAAGTGAGATGGAAAGCAGCGGTGGGATGGATGGTGATGTATGGTCGATTTGAGAACTGGCTGGCCAAACAGGCGGTGGAGGGAGGGAGAGGCGAGAAGGCGAGAAAAGGGCAGAAATCGGGAGAGGTGAGAGGTCGGAGGGTGGGAAGACCAGCGCAGGAAGCCGGCGAGGGCGGGAAATATCAGGGCGACCAACACCACTAAGGGCTAGTTAGTTAAAAGTGCAGGACAAACTTGGGCACAAGACCCGCTTTGTCCCGGCTGGTGGTGCCTGGGGCGTCACCTGCCATTCGCTGCTAAAACGTCAAGGCGTCGCCCGCTAATGCGCCCTAGTCCACGACAAGGGCTTCAATTTGCCGGGGACAGCCATGAAATTTGCCTCTGCCCGACTCCACAGGCTGTGAATAGCCCAACGCTCTGCACGCAGCCCTCAGACCGGCCGCCTTGGACAAGCGTAGTTTTTATCACAGGGTTCAACCACCGCAGTCCTTGGCGGCAGAGTTGTTTCGATCCTGACCCACCACTCACCCACAATGCGCAGGGCCCGCTAATCTCTTCCAGCCTAGGGACGAGCGCTTTCTGCACGAATCGTCTCTGCCCGGCCTCCTGGACTCATGCCCATCCTGCCACCCTGCCATCACTCTCCCATGCCTCATGGTGTCCTCATGGTTCGTCCTTCCACCGCCCCCCTCCCCAGACTTTGCCTGGAAGCTACAGCCAGGTATACGAGCACTCACGAGGACGAGCGTGGACGAGTAAGGTGCCGCAAAGCTAGCTGCATGCCCTGCGCCCCTCGTCCCATGATGGATCTGGAAACGCCTTTTTCCCATCATCCCACCATCCAACCAGTGCACAAATCATTTCCTTCGATGCCTCGTGTTACCCAATCCGCTTGACGTTTGTCTTGTCCCTCCTTCTCGGACCCCTCTCGCGTCGCATGAGTTCGGTCGACCTAAAGGGTGTGCTTGTCTGAAGCGTCTGGCCCTTGCAGATCGCCGAAAAGTTCTGCATCTCCGGCTTCGATTCGTGCTATTTGTGCCAGGAGCATACCTCAATGTCCCTAACCCCATACCTAAAAGGTACCACCTCCTTAAACAGCCGCTCCAGATGAACATTGGGCCCTTTTGTCGCGTGCTACTACCGGGAGGAGTGTCTCAGCAATCAGACACAAGCACCCCACTTCACTTCCAATGCACCTCGACCGCCAACACCATCTCCTTTCTACCGTAAAAATCACTGCGAGGTACTCAGTATAACCACGCATTGTGGACACAAAGAGAGAATTTTGCCCATATCGCACCCCAAGATCTCGGTTTACACCGACACAGGCATGGATCCAGGAGAATTATTGCCCTCCCCCATCCTCCTTCCTCGTTATACTCCCGAGGTGTTTGGCCAGTCTGGATGTTCCACTGGGCACTGCATGCTGAGCAAAGCAAACACCAATAATGGAGCCAGTGACGCTGCAAGGGGGCCGAGTCCAGGAGAAAGTCCAATCAACCCCTGAGATGTGGGTGGAGTTCCGCCTATCTGAAGCTCCCTTTTGCGCCATTGACGCTCATCTGATGGCAGTGCAGCATAAACGGAAAGGCCGTGGGTAAAAGTTGCTCGGAACAAGGATCTTCCTATGCCGATTATCCCTCGTTTGCCTTCTAGAAACTCTCTTACATCGGAGAGCACGTTACCCCAGATGTTACGCTTTGCTCTCGTAATCGTCTCCTGCTACATCCCTTGGGTGCCCCTCAGCGTCCAAGAGCTTGACTTCTCAAGAATATCCTAGCTGGACGGGTCAAATTACCAATAGTAGCATCCGTCAGGAATGCAATGAGGGTAATAATGCACAATCGCGTCCTCGTCGAAGGCGAGAACGGGTCCATATTCAGCTCCAGTTCTACTTGCACAGGTACAAGCCCTTGGGTATTGCTGCTCCGTTTCTCAGGAGACCGGTCACATGGAGGTCTCTGAACATACTTGTATAAGTAGTGTACTGGCCCCAGTCAGCACTTATGTGCACGTACAGGTACACAAGTGAAAGGTTTCAAGAGTCCTTGACTCCTGGAGAAGCTTTCCAACATCGTCCGACGAGGACGAAACGCGATGCGCGACAGGGGGCGCTTCCGATGCTTCTGGTTGTCTTCCCGCTAAGGTTCTTAGATCTTAGTAGGCTTCGATTCCTCCACAATGAGAGATAAATTCGGCGTCCTGATGACTCCAAGGAGTTCGCGAAAAGTACCGAGTAACAGGTATCCGAATAGCTACAAGTAGGCACCTTTGACGTTCTGCTCGCCAATAGACCGTTAAGTGATACGCCGTACAGTACTTGTATGTATACCTGTAGTGAGTCTTGAGTGATATCGAATGCCATTGATCTCTCGGTCTTCTGAGCAATTGGGACCCGTTAAGCCCAGACTGTCGGTGTACCAGTATAATGCCATTGATGACTTATGGAATGCGAAGCATAGGGATATGTCTCCTCGCACTATGAAACTGTACATGTACGGGTACTCTGTACATAGCCAGCGAGGAAGTCAAGTTTGTCGTCACCGTTTGAGCGATAATTATTGATCATCGACATCCACACATCGAGGTAGATACTTGGGCAGGTAGCGCAACCTACCCGGACCGGGCAGTAATAAGTCTTCACGATGACGCGCATCCCGGTCCTACAAATCACACCTGGAGATACCAATGAAAGTGTACAGAGGGTCAGATAATGCCTTTTAGCTGCTGAACCAAACAAAGGCATCTTTTAACGTAGGAAAAACTTTCACGAGTACAAGGACAGCCTCGACGACAAACAGGCGGGATTTCTCGCAGGCAAAGGCGGCAAGGATGGAGGTAGTCCGTGGCGTGAGAGCGGGAGCCCACACTCGACAAACAAAGTCCCATGACAACTCATGTGTGACCAAGGATCCTGACGTCGTAAAGTCAACACACCACGACACTCTTAAACGGCCAACCGTGGTGCTCATCTGAGTACCTCGTAGGTCATCTCCTGATCACCCAAAAAGGCGCATGAGTTGGCTATTCTTTATGTTCTTGTTCTTGTCATGTGTACCAAGCAAGAACGAGTACGATGGATCTCCCGGCGCTGGGTGCTTTGGATTGTGATGTCACCGATTCAAGTGCCGGTTGTTGCATGATGACGGACGGGGCCTTGGTCGTCCAGGTCGAGTCACTTGTATAGCCAGAGAGAAGGGATAATACCTTCTCTCACCAGTGGCTGAGGTTCTCCAACACAGCGTGACACATATCCGTTGGTCGAGGACTCTGTGAGCACAACACCTTCGCCCTTTGCCGAGCACAAGTAGATCTTCAGCGGTACTCGTGTTGAGATAGCCTCAGGCGCTTCCGATGGACATATTTGTACTTGTAGTTGACATGTCGATTGGAGCATTTGTACAAGCCATGCTCATGGCAACCATTGCCGTTGCGGATTGTCCGTGAAAGCCCGACTATTATCAAGTCTCCAAGAACTTTCCAACACGGCTTTCCAATGCCTGGCCAAGTGCTAGGGCTGGACGAGGACGAGGTTGAGACGCGTGCTCCAAGTTCACAGCGGATCGTCCACCTCTTCTCCCTTTCTCACTCTGCTCTCTGCCCTTCTCCGGGGTTGTCATGTAGCTCTACCAGGTCATCTTCCACGTGGCCGCCTCTTTCTTCTTCTCCGCCCACCAATCCCTCTGCCTCCTCCCTCGTCTCGTCCAGCCCCATATTCCCACCAGGCTTCGCTCCTTCCTCTCTCCTTCCGATCACGACATTGCCCGCGGCCAACATCCCCGCGCCTACCCACCACATACCGCCCAGCTTCTCCCCAAAGATCAAGGCACCGAGCACAGCGGTGATGACAAAGTTCGCCGAGACATTGATGATGCTGACGCGGGTCGTTGACTCTGCACGGGTCAGGGCGGACGTGAAGAGCCCCCACATGAGAGCGTTGAAGAGTAGGTTAAGGAGGAAGAATGTGCCCCGGACGGCGAGGTCGACGAAGGTATTGCTGGGGGAGAGGGAGAAAAAGGTTGCGATCGAAGACGACAAGTTGGATGTCAGGGAAGTGGTCGTTCTATTTGTTTGACGGATCGAGAGTCGGTTAGTTTGTCTGCATCATGAACGAGAAGGGGATTGCACGCTTGAGCGCAACAGAAAAGGAGAGTCAAGATTCCAAATAGAGAGCTGGAGGAGCTTCCATTCCGGGAGTTCATGGACGTACAGTTTAGCAAATACACCATTAAAGGCCGCACACGCTCCGCTCGAGACGGCCAGCACGATCCAGAGGGGCTGCCGCCGCAATGCGCGGATGATCGGGGATTGATCCATCTCAATGGCGGCGAGTGCTGCTTCTCCCTCGCCTTCTCCGTGCTTCTGGCCACCAGGATTCTGAACAGCGCTGGTGTCTTGGATACCTCCTCCAGTCTGCTCACACTGTCCTATGCCGCGGCGTCGTCGAGGCTGTTGCGACATTTTGAATTATCGGAAGCTCGAAATTGGGGGTTTGGAGACGGTGACTGCGCGCTACGATGGTGACGAGGCTGTGGCTTCAAAGGGGCACTCGCTGATTGGCGGAGTTTCGGCATCTTGAAAACCCCCTAAGCCTTGTTGTGCCTCAGATTGATCCTTGCAAAGTACACTGACATCGCCGAAAATATGTCGGTGACCTGATTGATATTTCAAGCACATGCCCAGGTATATGTATCGGAAGCTTCATGACTACCTCGTACATACTCCCACATTGCCATTTAACGCCTGTGATTCCTCCTACTTACTCCGCCTGTCGCTTGTTGCTACTCCCGCTGCTGATGAAGCCACTTTCTCCTCGGCCTTGGGCTTCTCATTCGACTCCTCTCCATCAGACAGCCCTTGCACACTCTGCCGCTCGTGTTTGCTCAATGACCCCTCTTCGTAGTCCAAAGACTTCACGATGCCCAAACCCTTGGTCTTTCCCTCGCGGAATAGTATCTTGTCCCCCACTGCAAGGAACTCGGGCCTCTGAACAAATCGGAACGCGACAGTGGCTCGATCTCCGGTTCGAATGTACTCACGGTCAATTTCAATGATGGCGCAAGTCTGGCTGATAGGCCCTACATGAAGCATCGCTTGGTACTTTGGTCGTATGGTAGTCGGGTGGGACAGAATCAAAACCTCGGCGACAAATTCTCGGTAGACCTTAGGCGGAGGGCCTTCGAGCTTCGGGAGCACGACCATGCCTTTGCGCACTTCTTTCTTTCGTATTCTTCTCAGGGCGAGGGAGGCAGACTGGCCAGCGCTACATGCCGGTACCTGGATCCTTTTCCGCTCGATCGATCGAATATTTGTTGTCTGAAACTGTCCAAGAGAGTCTGGTCCCACAAGAACGTTGTCACCTGCATGAATTATCCCGGACTTCACAACTCCCGACACAACTGTTCCCACGAATGGGACGGAGAAAGTGTCATTAATATGAAATTCAAAAGGCGCCTGATCGTCATAATGGCCGTGATGCGGAAGAATGTTGAGAAAAGTTCGAACAAGGTCCAGGGATTCCCCGGTCACATTTGAGACCTGGAAGATTGGGCAAATCCGCTGGGACACAAATTGTGTGGCTGTCAGAACCGTCTCCTCGTATGTATTGATGAAGACGGGGATTTTCCTCGCTCCAGGCGATTTCAATATCCTCGTCAGCTGGGTGATCGTCTGTTCAAGAATCTGGGGAGGGCAAATATCGATCTTGGTGATGACGACCATGACAGGCACGTTCAGGGCCAGTGCTAAACCGAGGTGCTCCTTCGACATACCGATCAGTCCGTTATTGGCTGCCACCATGAGCAGGCAGTAGTTTGGTGCCGAGGAGAGGAGGCCAAAAACAGTTGTCCGAAGATAACGCTCGTGTCCAGCTAGGTCGGTAAATGAGATGACCTTTGCCGAACGAGTCCCAATCTCCGCCCAAGTGAGTTTGCGACCGGGAACGGTGGATGTGACTACTTCCCCATGGGTGTCAAAGCCCATAATCTCCATGCCCACAGACGAAGTCCGACCGGATTCAATCTCGTGCTTGTGACGAAACAGGTTGACACGAGCTTTGCCGCGGCCATCGTCCAGGCTCCCCTTGACAAGAACACCTAACATAGTAGACTTGCCTGCATCAACATTACCAACCACCGCAATTCGCGTCTCGATAACTTCTTCAGCCGTTGCTGGGGTCTGTCGAATGAGGAGTTTGCCGTGGCTTGAATGGTCATGAGTCGTGTTCGGATGAGCCTCCTTATCACCACCAACATTGTATGTCAGGAGCACGTTGACTGTCGCGTTGAGCACACCGGCCGCTTCAGTGATGCGTGTCATAGCAATGTCCCATTGCTCTTTAGTGAATCGCATTGAGTCACCGCTGTCCTCAAGTCCTAGATCGAAGAGCGTCTCGCCATGGCCCTCGTCTAACCTGGACTGTAGAAAGCCCGACAATTCCTGAAAGGTTGCGGCTGCATCGCCCGAGGTATCAAGCAGCAACTCTTTTAGTTTTGTCCGGCTTGGAGCGTCGGAGAGGTCTAATTGATCAAGGATCTCGAGCTCTGCATGATCTTCAGCGACGGACGAGGGAGCGCCAGTACCGTAACCGCTGTCGCCAGCAACGGAATCGGGATACGGAGGGCGTGTCTTTGCTCGCTGTCGTTCTACATAATCAGCGAAATCAGAGAGGGCCTGGCATCATGTTAGAAATTGAAATTGTTCATCACTTGAAATGCCCTTACCAGCTCTCCCTTTCGGCGATCTTGCAGTGTCTGTCTGTTGCGACTACCCATCGTTGGTTGTTGGTTCGAATGCGAGATGAGGTGGAGAGTGGCGTGAAAGAGTGGCGGATGCGCCCCGCAGTCAGTGAGGTATTCGAGGAATCATCGTGGAGCTATGAGTAGCAGAGAGGCGCAGCGTTGCCCGAGTGCTAAGACTGCATCTTGAGCTGTACTGTAGAGAAGTTTCTGTGAGGATGAAATGCGCAGATGGGAGACAGAGAGGTAACAGAGTCCGTCCCGGAACATATATAAATAAAGTGGAGGCAAGTGTTGGAGTCATGACCATGACAGCTTTGTATGTACTTGTTTGGGCTACCACTGTGGCTATCAAGCGGGGAACCCACGAGTTGATTTACTGACTCATTCTCCCCCACGCGTCTCAGCCTCATCATTGACTGCAGGTCTTTCACTTCCGCTATCAGCACGCTAATTGACTTGTAAGATCCTCCTGCATCGTCACTCGTTCGACACAGGTGACTCTTCCACCGCAGGCTGGACTTTTCGAAGGGCAAGATGTAAGCCTTCAAAGGTTCTTCTTCCTGACCCAAGGATTGCAGCTTCAGGTGACTCATTTATAGGGGTACTGTTTCCCCCAGCGATCTTTTGGGTTACTTCCTACCGTCCGTTATGCTCCATCATGGGCTAAATTTGACCCTCGAAACCCTTCGAACGGCGGTTTTGCTCGTTTGATCCGAGAATCTAGATCGACGTGGTTGAAACGGTCTCAAGACCCAGGTTGGGGAGAGATTAGTACGACCGAGTCTCCTGCTCAGGTGTCAGCGACAGCCAATCTTGGCCCTTTGGCGCGGCGTATACCTCGGACAAATAGCATATCGGACTGTTTCTTCGTTGTCTAGTGGAGTGAGTGGCTGGCCGATTGAATTTTGCATCAATGAGAACTGACCTTGACGGTGTCTTCGCCGTCCTCCTCCTCCTCAATCGTGTAGATTGTCTCTTCAACGTCTCCGAGAACAAGATTGCAATGACTGTCGTAGGCCTGTTTTGCACCTGTGCGTCAGTATGAGGTCGCTGCGATCCTGTTATACAAGCATACATGTAGTCTTCCTTTCAGCTCTCGATCTCCACGTAGTCGAACAAACACAATCTCATCGAGGGAGAGGCGGACAAGGTCGAGCGGTTCAGACACCGCATTGGCTCCTTCCTCTGGTGATTCGGCCATGATAGGCTGGACCTGTGGTCTGCAAAATAAACCCAACGTCGACTGGTGGTATGGCTGTCGAGAAGAGAAGAGCCCTTGTCCGCTACTAACTGGGAAGGGGATCAGCCCAAGACCGTTGGGCTTGGCGTCATTTGAAATTTGAGCTTTTGTTTGGAGAAAGCGAAATCCGTCCATCGCGCAAACCGCTCCCTTCCCAACGCCAGATTCCAGAATCTTTTTCAATGACTTAGTTGCCATCCTTTCCAGCTCTAGCTCGGGTCGCCGTCTATCTGCGGTGTATTGATGCATGGCTCGCTGCCTCTGGTGAGGTTGATCAATGGCTTCTCGCAACCCTCGCCCAGTCGGATACCTCACTTGACCCTTCACATTCTTCGTCGCCAAACCCTTTCCCCGGCGCACTGGGACAAAGGACTATGCCTTCCCAATGCTCGCTGTGAACGACGTTTCGACCGGTCATACTCTACGACCGTGTCCTTTTCTCCCTTCATATTGGCGAAGCAATCGACCCTCCTCGACGAACACGATGATCCTTCTCCGATAGAATATACAATTGATGAGGTGCCGCCAGCGGATTCCACTCATGGAGCAAGGAAAGTGGTGTCTATGCAGGCCTTGTTGGAAGAAAACAATCCCGACCGTATACTCTTGGGACTGGTGACACCTCAAATCGGGGACGATTTCATTGAAAATGCAGACGACCAGACCTTCGCACGTGCCATCTGCGCGTTGGATCCCGAGCATTTTATTGTTCCTTATGGAAAGCTATTCCGCTACCTAAAGCCGAGTCTAGAGACGCAGCCGAAGTTTCGAATAGTCAGATCACTGGAAGAGCGTGTGGCCACTTTTATCAACATCCTTGATTCCCTGGTCACTCAGCGACAAAAACATGGCCATTCCCTAGGTCTCGACATATATCGACATCTCTTACGGTGTACAGCCGCGGCTGGGGTGGGATCATTTGCCAGGAATGTGTTTCGCAAAGCCATGAGAGAGGACGCTGTTGAACCTGATTTGGACTGTTACAACTACTTCATGGAGGCCCTAACCTGGAACGAGGCATATAATAGACACGAACGATATCGACTACGGATAGTCCGGCATAACATGTTTCGTCGATCATTGGAGACCAGACCGCTCGGATTCTTTGGCCACGGAGTCGCATCGCCCAAAAATCCCAAAAGTGAACAGTCCATCAGGCTGGAAACTCTTGGCATCTTCAACGAGCTCGTGAACCAAGGGCTGAACGGTAATGAGGCAACATTCTGCAATCTTATGGTCGCGATGGGCCGCGAAGGAGACCTAGGCAGCGTCAAGAGCGTTCTCAAGTCGGCTTGGAATATCGATGTTGACGCTCTGGACAAGTACGACGAGGAGGAGTTGGAGAGTCCCACATTTTATGAGGAGGGTTCACCTCTTCGACCTTCTGCGCGGCTTTTATTTACGGTAGTTCATGTTTTCGGCACGAACAATGAAGTCGCACTGGGAGGCATGCTCCTTGACTACATCTCGCGCAATTACAACCTGGATATTCCGGAATATATCTGGACCCATTTACTGGAGTGGACCTTTGTACTATCAATCCAACACAGTAAGGCGCGGATCGAGAGAGGACACGGTGAGGGTCGCATTGCACGAAGGGCGGTCGAGTCAGTCTATCACGTCTTCCATAACGAACCGTACAACGTCCAGCCGAAAATCGAGGATCTGATATTTCGGGTCAAAGCCAGGTCCGAAGCGAGGAAGCTCTACAAGGCTGTCGAAGACCTTCGCCAGTGTATGGCCCTGCTCGAGGAAGAACGAACCCGCCTCTCCGAAATGTATGACCAAATCCGAAGCCTCCTTGAAGACGCCGACTACCATTACATCTTCTACGACGGCTTGCCTTCTGCTACATTCCTCGATCTAAAACACAAGTATGTGCTTGCTTCCCTTCAGCTGGAATGCCACATCCAACTCATCTCTATTGCTGTGCGCAACACCATCAAGCGAAAAGATTGGACATCACATGACGAAGGCACAGACTGGCCGTACCGAGGTATCCCCAATATCATCGCGGAGTGGACAGACTGGTTACCAAATATCATCCCCTACTACACACCCACTGGTCACGTGTGTATTTGGGGAAGGGAATCGCGGCACGCGGCCATTCAGAGCGCGAATTCCCTCCAAACGACAAGGACAGGCACAATGCGCATGCTGCTCGACTCTTATTCCCCAACTCGCCTCCGCCATGCCGCTGGGTTCATTCATCGCGGGCCTACCGGGAACGCTCTGACTAAATTTCAAGACGAAGTTCGCGGCGATTCCTCGGGCCGCCTGAGTGATTGGGTACTCCGATTCGAGGCGGCTGTCCGTCAAGAAAGGTTGAGTGATCGTCAGGTCGTGGGCGCGCAGGTACCCGGTCCGGATCAGAAGAGCGAGGATTGGAGGCCTTGGGGTGGAATCGTGGGGAAAGGCAAGAGAGAGCGCGGGCGTCGGAAAAGTCGCTCAGCGACGAGGGACGATGAGGGTGAGGGCGAAGACGAAGAAGGGGAAAGGCAGACGGAGTGACGCAATGGCGGGTGAGCAACAGGACGTGTAACAGGACGTGTAACAAGTGTAACATCATCCATCATGTGTGGACATATCGCGACAACTCGCTATGTAAGAATGTGGTACTGCAAGTTCAGTTTCTCATAAAACAACGAACAGTCGCCCGGGTCACAAAAAAGGCCCCCCTTGGGAGTCCTTCTACGGGGTAAAAGCCAAATTGGATATCATGGACAAGCAAGAACCGTCAAAAGAGCCTCCCTCCCAATGTGACACATCCACAAGCCATTGACGCGGGTCTGCTGAATAGACACAGACCCATTTTGACTCCCCTCTGTCCCTCGCTCCCCTGCCCCTAGCGAGGACTCCTCATTTTGAGGCCCTTTTCCCTCCTTCGCGCCGAAAGAGAGAAAACACGTAAAGCTCCTTAGGGGTTCCCGAAAAAAAAAAGAGAATTTGACTTCAGATTTACTGGTGTCATTTGGTGATCTTTCCCACCTCTCTTCACCCTTTAACCCGCCACGACTCGCTCCCTCCTTAAATCATTCACGACCATGTACCTCCCTAGGCCGATCCAGCCCCATCGAAACCAGACCATCTGAGATTTGTGTCCGTGGATCATGGCCTCGCGCGCCTTCCAGTACCGGAATATGTCGTTGACAAACATGACTCGGTCTGCGGCGCTCTTGGACCCCGTGGCGGTCTTCCCTTTCCCTGTCGTGGATCCAAACAAGTTGCCGAATATGGTCTCGTAGATCCCGGCCAGGAGGGTGGGTATGGCGTCTAATACGAAGGAGTATTTCCGCACAATGTTGATCGAGGGGAGGGTGTACAGCGTGACCGGGCACGCATAGCCAGAGTGGCCTTTCATGATCTTTTGTAGGAACAGGGACGCACCGTGGTACAAGGCGATGTGGTTGGGATGGCCTGAGATACCGCCCTTGTCGAAGGTGATTAGCACGTCGATCGTTGCGCGGGGTCCTTCTACCTCCTTTTGCGCTGGAGCGGGCGGGGTTGCTATGCTTGTGCGAGAGGCGGATTTGGTGTGTTTCACAGAGTTTGGCTTGGATTTTCGTCGGTCCTTGTCCTTTTCCTTGTCGGAATCTGATGTGGGCATTGCCGGGGTTGCTGCAGCAGACGGAGAATTCAGGTGCGGCGCAAATGCACTGGCCAGCACGAGCGCGATATCCTCAGACTTCCACTCCTCCTTCATTCCGTCCTTGAACCGCTCGTCCTCTAGCACAAAGACGTCCTCCTTCCGCCTCAGTCCCAGCGTCGTCGCCGCCTTTTCCAATTCCTGTTTCCGTGTTGCGCCCAGACCTTCGCTGTTGCCCGTACTCATGCATAAGATCTTCAAGTGGTTTTGTAGAGAAGGGTGGGTTAGGGCTTGCAGGGCCGGCGAGAAGAACATCGACTCGTCGTCCGGGTGAGCGATGAGTAAGATGATGCGCTTGTTGCGGAGAAGGGCAGGTATAGGGGGGAGCATGGTCGACGTGAGATGCCAAAGGGCGAAGATGAGGATTGGTAGGATGGTCAACGTAATGATCGTTCCAAAGGCCATGTTGGAGGGGTCTGGGTCGCAGTGAACTGTCGCCGATCAAGACTGATAGGAAGTCGCGCTCTGCGGAGAAACTGCACACTTGAAAAGGATATTGACGCAGTCTAGAGAAGCGGATTGTTTCATCCCAAGCGGTGCTACGGGCAGCATAGAGTTGACTGCTGCGGCGGGCGAGGTTTCATGGTGGGAAGGTCACTGGCACATAAAATCAAGGAGAGACTAGACAACAGAGAGACAGGCCATCCGGAAAAAATCGTCCAGAGCCATGCATGAACAGGTGGAGTTGGAATTGAACGCACGAAAAAGCGGTAAAGGTGGCCAGATCTCAATTGACGGGAGACATTTTACGGTGCAATGGAAATGGATATGGAAATGAAGCGGCGTTGCAAGGGTGCGTGTTGGATGGTTTCGCTTCAACCATCTCACCCCCACTTGGTCGCCAAATTAAATCACCCGCCGAGATGGCCAGGAGCTGAAGAAAAGGCACGTGATGCAATCAATCATATGGTTGAAAAGAAGTAATTCTCAGATCACACTTTGAGGTTGTGGTCTGGCCCGCGCCCGTTTTACAGCTATATAAACAGCCGAACGAGCATCAAAGTCTTAAGTGCATGTAAGCGACGCGAAGAGTCATCAAGGTAGATTTACTGGTATAGGTACGACCTCTACAACAGACCAGGTAACGGACCAGGTTGGGGCATCAGAAGGGACGGACTTCGATGTCCAGAGCAATCAACCTGTGGGCGAGATTTCCAAAACGAGTCATTGTCGCTACCACATGAGCGGCAGGGGGCCTCTTGGAACGCGAAGGGGGTGGGCGAGGGTAATGTACCTGGAGAGGCGGACATGAAAATCATAGACTTCTGGAGCCTCAGTCGAGGTGGGCTTTGATGTAAAGTCGTGTCAGCAAAAATTTCATTAAATATCTGGACGTCCAGTGAGAGACCAACCGAGCCTGCTCCAATTCCACAGGTCCCATTCCCAATTCCAAAACCCATCATCTCCGCGTGTGGCCTGTTGCCAGTGTAGCCATCCCTTCGCAGCGAATATTATTCTTGACTAGACAATCTGTGTCCAGTCAATCCCTCTCGAGGAGTGATTATCCATCATCGTCATTGTAGGAGGAAATATCTTGCAAGAACCGTGCAGTGGATTCCACCATATTCTGCACCGTTCGCAGAGGAGGGAGGTGAGGATGGATTTGTGCGCCTGGGTAAAGGCGACGTAGCCTCCGTCTAGTATCTGTATCTTGTTGAGTAGTCTTTCGGTGAGACCACCAAGCCTCGTCCCTTTTTGGCGCCTTTGTAGATCGTTTCAATAATGTCGATAAGCTCTTGTTTGTCTTCGAGAACCCAGTTCAGCTTGTTGTTGTTGCCAGTGCCGAAATCACACATCATGTGTTTGTTGCGAAAGAAGAACATGATGGTCACTGGATCGTAGAGCTCGTACATCTGTTTGAAGTCCGGGACTTGGTCGAGGTCGCAGACGTAGATGACAGCGAAGTTCTTGACTTTGTCGGCGATCTTGTAGAGGACTTCATCTTGTCGCATACAGTCAGGATCCCAGTCACGGCCGAAGCGGATGACCACCAGGCGTTCGTCTTCGGAGAGAATGGCTTGGTCGACGTGCCAGCCAGTGACCAGATGAGGAATGACGACGGAACCCATAGTTGTGTCAACAAAAAGGGTAGTGGCGATATAAGGTTGATGTGAGTGTCTTGTTGTGAGATATACAGAGGTTGGAAAGGAGGATGGGGGGAATGAGGACTGTTAATGAAGCGCGCAACCAACGTGTACAGTAGGTTGGAAGATTCAAGAAACATACACCGCAGCCTCTGTGCCTCCTTAGCTGTATGAGGACGTCACGGGGAGCCAGGCACCACCAGTACAGCGCCTGGGCTTGGCTGTGGCTGTCTTTATCGATAAGGGTTTGCGGGTCTCCCCGCGAAAATTTTGGTGAGCCTCCGAACACTCAGCGATAGCTCCGTCTATGACGAGGACATCACAAGCAACAATTCTACTATCTTCTTGCTGCTGATCAGCGATGCCCCAGAGTTTGCAAGAGGACTCGAGATCAAATATGGCTTCATCCACGCAACCTGATCCCCAGATCGATACGACCATCCCTACCCTCAGAAGAGATTTGACCTCCGAGAACGTCCCACTTGCCCGACGCTTTCGCGCACTATTCTCCCTCAAACACGTCGCTTCACAAACTCCTGGACAACAGGCAACAGAGGCAATAGAAGCAATTGCCGCTGCATTCGATTCTCCCTCTGCGCTTTTGAAACACGAGCTGGCATATTGTCTGGGACAGACCAGGAATCTAGTGGCGGTGCCGTTCCTGCGAGCGGTCCTTGAAAATAAGGAGGAAGATGCCATGTGTAGGCACGAGGCAGCCGAGGCCCTGGGGGCACTGGGAGACATGTCAAGTCTACAAATTATGGAACAAATGAAAGACGACGAGAGCGAGCCGGTGGTGGTTAGAGAGACATGTGAGATAGCCGTCGACCGCATCAATTGGGCTCATTCTGAGAGCCGGCGAAGCGAAAGCTTGAAGTCAAGCGACTTTGCCTCGATCGATCCTGCGCCTCCTCTGCCTCTGTCCTCAGAAACACCTTCGATATCCAATCTACAGGCTACCCTTCTCGACCAATCGTTGCCCTTGTTCCAACGGTATCGTGCCATGTTTGCGCTTCGAGACCTTGCGTCTCCACCAGACCTCCCCACGGCAAAGCCTGCCGTTCACGCACTTGCTTCTGGGTTCAAAGATCCATCCGCACTTTTTCGTCACGAGGTGGCTTTTGTGTTCGGACAACTATCGCATCCAGAATCAATACCTGCATTGCTGGCCGTGCTGGAGGATACCAAGGAAGAAAGCATGGTTCGACACGAGGCTGCCGAGGCACTCGGCAGTTTAGGAGAGGAACCAGGTGTGGAGGATATGTTGAAGAGATTCTTGAATGACCCTGAGCAAGTCGTCCGTGAGAGCGTTGTTGTTGCTCTTGATATGGCCGCATACGAGAAAACTGGGGAGATGGAATATGCCACCATCCCAACAGAGGTTGTTGTATAGCACCGGTTTGCTTTAGAAAGCGTCGCATTTCAGACCCCGACTCAGCGTCATCTCAGTTATTCTGCACATCCTTGAAACCACACTCGCATCTGTAGAATACAGTCGTCCCTTCGTCGGCGCTTCGTAGCTGCTTTGTATGGTAGAACATTTCTGGCCGGTGGCAATCAGGGCACTCTCTGGAGATGACAGCCTCGACCTGTAGTTCGTCGGCGTTGACAGCCTGCACCTCGGAATGCTTTGCACGTAGAGGGGATGGAAAGGCACTCGGTTTGGACTTTGAAGTTATGACTTTGGATGAGGTATCTTGGGTGTACTGAAAACAATCGTCGCACTGGACCAGGTCGTCTTGATTCTCGCCTGGGACAATCCGCGGTAGCAGTGAGCCACAGGCGTCGCAGAACAAAAGGCTACCTATCGCAACCATGATGAAATTTCGAGTGTTTGAGAAGATGGTGGCTGACTTTTTGTAGCCCCGAGATAAAATTTGGGATCTCGTTCCTGCAGCCGCTTTGCCGCCAACCCTGGTAAGCGCGATCTCGTATTGAAACCGCAGCTTAACCGAGCGGATCACGGTTTGAAGATCCCTTCCCCAGCCGTGCCCAGCCTGACTTTAGCAGTGCCTAGTCACTTCGAGCCTCACTTTCATCTCTACGTGCTTGCGCAGACGGTTTGTGTCAAGACAACCCACCCCCATACCGAGGACAACTGGCAGCTTGCGCTAGGTGTTTGTTGACTATGAGGGTCATGGCGTGTGTCCTGACAATAAACCAGCCCAGTTCAACCCCTCCACCGTCTTTGGCGGAGTCGTCGAGATAGTTGCATCGGCCGCCTTGCGCAGTTCCCATCACTCACCAGTGTCAAAACCATGGATATGACGGGCGATACCATTAAGGTCGTTGTCCCACGACGGCGGCAGAATGATTCCAATGACAGACAACTCTCAGTGGATCAGGCTTTCCAATACACTCCCATGACCATGCCGATTCTCCAGCCGAATGGTATGCCCACTTCACTCAAGAGTTACTGCCGTTTCTAATTCACCTCACAGAATGCGTCCCTTTTCCTCAACTTGCGTGCTCCAATGATTCGCGACTCACTTCTCCTTCCGAACGCCAGGCAGTATATCGAAGCGAACTAGACACTCCCGCGACCAGAGAACGTCTGGCGGCCCTGCTTGATCCTCGCCGCTTATCTGAGATCAAGTTTCCTCGAGCCCCAGTCCAGAATGACAACTCCATCAGGGCAGAACTGAACTCCATACCAAAGATGGTTCTCAAAATGTCCAAAATAGATTATACATACAAGTCTTCGACAACTGGAACCCCCCCTGCAGCCCGGAAGAAAACGCTTCAGATGCCCATCACTAAACCAGCCTCCATTATTATCGACATACCGAAGCCGCCCCCGTCCTTCAGAAAAGAGGACTACGTCAATATACAAGATACTCCAAAACGACAGAACGAGCCTCCGCCACCTACCAAGCCCGTTTTAGCAACCACCTCCAAGAAACAGAAGGATGACCAGCTTTTAGCGAGCTTTGAAAGCCAACTCGGCGAGATTTTCGAGATTCGAGATCAAATTGACCTCAACAACTCAGAAGAACGACAGGGACCGCCCAATGGCATTTTCGATCTGCCCGACGATGAAGACGACACTGAACCCCGACTTGCAATCCGTTTACAGGAGAAACTTCAATCGACCTTGAATCAGCTCCTAACATCAGGTCGGCTCTGTGATGTTTCTCCGGAATATCTTCAGCGACTTCAAAAAATATGTGAGCCGGTGATAGAACGTGCACAGGCAATCAACTTGCAAGTACCTCTGGGCGCATCCGATGAGGATACATCCACTTGGCTGTCGAAGCTTCACACTGCGGAGAGCGGAGCTGCTTCAGCGTGCACTCTGATCTACACCGTTCTAGGTGCTCCTCAGAATCAAGACCTTCTCAATCTGGAAGCACTGCAATGGTTGCCCAATGTGCTGGTGAACTTATTCGAGAACTGTTTGATCCCGATTGTCGAGGCCCGTCCAGATGGACAGAACAGTGAACTTTTCAGTTACGCCTCGGCGCACCACGAACCTCTCAAACGGTTGCTAGATGTTGGACGCAAACTGCTGGATCTTGTGGCGAGGATGTGCGTGGAAATTAAAGGAGCCGGGTCTCTTGTTAATGCCACTGAGTTCCTAGCAGCGAAGCTCATTTTTGTCCAGAATGCTTATAACGACAAAGCATCCGCACTTGGGTCTCAAGCGTACGAGCGGTTGAGAAAACAAGCCATGGCTGCTCTTGCCAGACTCTACGCAGCCTTCCCTGGTGAGCGGCGGGCAATATTGGACGAAGTCTTGACGTCCTTAGACAAGCTGCCTTCAAATAGCAGGAGTGCAAGACAATATAAGCTCGCACCTGGCAAGAATATCCAACTGGTCTCTGCTCTTTTCATGCAGCTAGTACAGACCTCGGCTATGCAAACAGGTATGAAAAGAAGCCGAAAATCACGACGAGGACCTAGGAAGGAATCGCAGGCATCCGACAGTTCAGACCAGAGTGAGGATTCAGCCAGTGATATGGAGGTTGACTCAGTTTCCACAACACAGGAGATTGAGAAGAGACCGTTATCAAGGCTAGGTGAGATGGCACAGAGTCTGTTCCATGATGCATCATCAAGTGCCCATCAAATTGTCATGTGGATGATTGACAAGGCTTCTAAAGTCACCAAGACTGGCGATTCGCCTTACCGCAATATCCTCGATCTGTTTGTGGAAGACCTCACTCTGGTGCTTCCCTTACCGGACTGGCCAGCGTCTGAGTTGCTTCTCACAGCGCTGGCTCTTCGAATGAAAAGCCTTGCCGAAACAGACAAGTCAGCCTCGACGAAGAACATGGCTCTTGAATCCTTGGGGGTTATGGGGTCTGCGATATCCCAAATCCGTGCATCTGCTCGAAGCTCGCTTTCAGCATTCACGGGGGAGGGAGAGTCACACACGACCACTATTGCCCGAGATCTGTCGGACTCTGTCAAGGAGCGGCCTCATTTTCTTCTCGATGCCCACGAACTTGTATCGGCAAGGGGGCCATTTTCCATTGTCTATTCCTACTTGAGCCAGAGAGGAGGGGAGGGTCTGAGAACCAAATCTGCACAGGCATTCTTCCTTGTGAAGTTCGGAGGTCTCATTTATCAAGCCTCTACACAGCCACAGGATAAAGAACGGGACTTTGAACTCGACTCGACACTTGAGAGGACAGTTTCGGCGATATTGCAACAGCTATCCGGATCAGTCAAATACAACGAGATCGCTAACGGTCACACCAAAGTTACTGAACACGAAGCCCAATTAGCTTATATGCTGAGCATTCTCAACGGGCGATTTTGTCGAATGTTTTTGGAAATCGCCACAACGCTAAGTTCGTCGATTGCGAGTGATCAGGCTCAAGTTCGCACTCGCAGCCTGAAGAGCTTCGTCGCTATGCTGGAGATCGATTCAAGTCTGCTCGATTGGGGACCGGCTCTGGTGGACATGGTCTTGAAGTGTGCTTCAGATGACTCGTCCATGGTGAGGGATTCTGCCTTGACACTGATTGCCAGATTCATCATGCCAAGGCCCGCACTTCAGAAAAAGGCATTCATGGTGCTTCTCAAATGTACTGACGATCCTAACGTTGGGGTGCAGAAAAGAGCCATGGCTCATTTAAAAGATGTCTATTTGAAGGAAGGGAGAGCAAATGTGAAAGAAGCTATCGCGGTCGAGTTCCTGAAACGGACTGCCCATCAAGAAACCTCCGTGGCTGAGCTTGCAAAAAAGATATTGGCAGAGATCTGGGTTGATCCTAAACTGGCAACGCTGAGCTCTGCAGCCGAGTCTGCGCATCTGGATGTCGCTATTGAGGACCTCAAATCTCACATTGTCAGATCTGTTGGAAACGACACGGCGCGGCTGGCACCACTTCTGAAGGAGTTCTTAGTCTGGAAGCTGAAAGACTCCAAACACATTGACCAGATCCAGCATCTCTGCGCCCGTATTGTCAAGAAACTCCTGGACGCCGCCAATAGCTCTGAGTCGGGACCGGCAGAGTTGGCGACTCTTGTTGCATTTGTTGAAGCTCGACCGGAGGCAGTGGTGCCCGCAGATCTAACCAGTTTGAAGAGCTATCTCAAAGACTTGGCTAAACAGGATAACATCCCAAAGTTCAAATCAGTTGTGGCCATATTTCGTCTGGTCCTGCCACAACTGTCCAGCACTCAAGCTCCACTGCTGCAAGAGGTTCAGAAGGACCTTCTGAGAGCTAGTCCGAAGCTTGTGCAACGCGAAGTGATTGAGGAGGTGATGTGGTGCCTCAGAAGCATCGACGGGGTGCTGCACGAGACCATCAAGCTTGCTAGGTTCACGATATCACTGGTGCGGAATGTGCTACTCAGCGAAACTTCGCGAGGGACGGCGCCCGCGCCACCAGAGAAGATGGAGGAGACCAAGAGGAAACGGATGTGCTTGCGGTTGCTTGGTGTCGCTGGAAAAGTCTTCGACTTGGAACAATATCGCGAGGAGTTTCGCAGACTCTTTCCTACATACAAAGGTGACTCAGTTGCAGGGGTGATTGCAGACTGCATTTGGGAACACACTTCTAGAGACAGCCCTATTGAGATCCAAGTTAGGGCGCTGGAGTGTCTCGGTCTCGTCTGTCAAGCATGGCCGGGCCAATTCAACAAACGGCATATTCGAGAAACGTTCTTCCAGGTCCTAGATGGAACGTCATTCAGTAAGCTGGACAAATGTGACGTGGAGAAGATGCAGATTACAGTGCTCGAGGTATTTCAAGAATTGTACGGGAAGCGGGCGGCTGTCAAAGAGGTGGCGAAGAAGGGCGAGAGCGATGGTGAGGTGCAGGCCTTGAAAAACATTGGTGGCGACAGCAAGACCCGCGAGGATGACAGTGCGATTGCGACCATCACCAACCCGCTGGTTGACCACCTCTTGCACATCATCACGTCTGAAACTGGTCTGAA